ATAAAACAATCTTGACTTAAGTCAAGATTGTTTTATTTTTGGAAATTCCATTCGATTCAACGACCTCCGTCCTCCATAAGCGCCATAGATGGCCCGAGGTATGTCGGGGCACCAGGGACTTCCTTTCTAGGGTATACCTGGTTCCCCGGCTATTAGTAGCCGAGACGGCGTGCGGTTTTAGTCGGTTCGAGTCCAACATGCCACCGGTATCCGATTGGTGGTATCCGATTGGATTTTCGCACGGAAAAAAAAAGGGGTGGATAGCTTTAATAAGAAGATTTACATTTTGTTAAACTCCCGCCAAGAAGTCCTGGCTAATAATGATTCAATATTAGGACTCCACGCAAGTAAGATCAGTAACCAATTTAAGGGCCCATGTACATGGGATTTGAAAAGGTTTTAGAAGTAGCGCCGCCTGTTCAGACATGACTGATCAATTTCTTGTTTCTGGTGCTGAATGATTTTCTTCATCTCATAATATGCACTTCGATTTACGTCTTATTTAAAGGGTTTCTCAACAAGAACTTTGTTTTTCAATTGGGGCTACACCAAAAGCATGACAGTTTTGACTTACAAGGTTCAACTGGTACAGGAATTGAAGCCGACTGACCATTTACATCACCGTAGATTTGCTCAATTCATTCAGGAACAACCCGCCAGTTTCTCTGAAAAAAACATTTTTTCAGACGAAGCCCATTTTCACTTGTCAGGGTAGGTACGTCAACGAGCAAAATTGCCGCATTTGGGCTTCTGAAAATCCAAGAGCAATTATTGAGAAGCCTTTGCATGCTCAACGTGTCACTGTATGGTGCGCTATGTGGTCTGGAGGCGTGATTGGGCCGTTTCTTTTTGAAAGATGAGGCTGGAAATGCGGTAACGGTCAAGGGATCATGCTATCGCGAGATGTTTGCTTTATGTTTTTGGCCTATTATTGATGACGTGGATATCACTGACCTGTGGTTTCAACAGGACGCCACATGCCGGTGCCACATGTCACCAATCGTCAATGAAACGATCAATTTATTGCAAACGAATTGCCCGATCGCATAACTCCACGCAAGTTAAGGGGCCAGGCAGATCGTGTGATTTGACACCACTGGATTATTTTTTTGTGGGGCTATGTTAAGAACAGCAGCGATTGCAGCTTTAAAACTCAAAATCCGTGATGTAATTAACGAAATAGACCCGCCATTTTGCCAAAAGTGAGTAAAAACTTTGATAAAAGAATCGACATCTTTCAGCGTGCACGTGGTGACATTTGCCAGATATCATTTTTCATTCATAACTGAGAAACTTTTCTCTTCGTCATACAATAAAAAGAATCATTATCGAAATTCTTCCTTTTATTTTGTTTTAGAAACAAAGTTCTTTTTGAAAAACCCTTTACATCTTAATTTTTGTTGTTTAATAAAATTTTAAAATCCTAAATATTGTTGAGCCATAGGATTAAATGGTTCGATCGTATGGAATGTGGCGGACAGCGCCATCTACTTTCGACTAAAGTACATCTATTAAGATTGTGGCTAATACGAGTAGTTCTGATCCTTACAGCGCTATATGGCGCTGCAAGTAACGCGTGACTGATTCTGGAATATTATTGTTGTCTGTAAGGGACTACTAACACTAGGGATCTTTAAAGTAAAATTCAAAAGCGCTATAAAAGCAGAGCGTGTTGGCCGTTTGGGACAGTCTCGTTTTACGACACAGCGAATTAAAATCGGAGTGAATTTCTAGTGCCACTTACAAGATATACCTATAGTGATTTCTAGTTCATTATAGTGAGTGTTTGTAAATACTACTACTACCTACTCAAAAGTATACTCTGGTTTCTGAAACAAAATTTAATATTTCTGCTAAATCATTTTCGTCATCTCTCTTAAAATTTCTAAACGGTTATCGGACAATTAACACAATTTAAATATTGCGTGCATATAAAAAAAAAGTGTGTGTGTCCGACGAAGCTCCGACGAACGACTGGAGTTTACTCCTTAAGGACGATTTGGCTACACACAAGTATACGAGCTATACACACACATTATTCAAACATGCTTTTTACATCCAAATTATTCTCTAACATTAGAACAACAAAGTATAGATAATCGATACATCTATACTAATATTATAAAGCTGAAGAGTTTGTTTGTTTGTTTGTTTGAACGCGCTAATCTCAGGAACTACTGGTCCGATTTGAAAAATTCTTTCAGTGTTAGATAGCCCGTTTATCGAGGAAGGCTATAGGCTATATATCATCACGCTAAGACCAATAGGAGCGGAGCAACAATGAAGAATGTTTCAAAAACGGAGAAAATTTATTACTATTGAGAGACGCAGACGAAGTTGCGCGGGTCAGCTAGTCGATAATGGTTAGCACAACACTAGTGCCAATTCAGGACTTCCAAACGAAGCATGATAGGTATTTCAAAGTTTTCGAATTTTCGCTCTTTCCTTTCTTACGGCCGACTTTTATATTAGGCCGTTCGCGGGCTTTGTTTGGTGGCACAATTTTAATGGAATTATCCATTGGAACCCGCTAGTTTTTAAAAGTAAGCAATAAAAAACGGGACATTACTGCGATCTTGTCGCAGAGTTTACGTCAACTGACGGCCATGTTGAATAAAAGCAATTCGCTGATTGGCTGGGATACTTAACTACAATTGAAAAAAACTGTCTCATGGATCTATCTGATTTTGATAAAATATTTTCATGTTAAGGGGTTTTTTCAAAAACCTTGTTCATTAATACACAACTGACAAAATTGTTTAAAACTTGTTTTATACCCTTTCTCTTGATAACAATAATATACCTGGAAAATTCTCAGAATTGGATTTATCCGAGTTTCAAGTTAAGCGATACTTACTTCAGCAAATATTTATTTTTACCAATTACTTACTACTAGTACTACAATTAATTACTTTACTTAATAAAATGTAATTTTAATTTTAGCGTTGACCCTAAGATTTCCTAAAACCTAATAAATCAAATGATACAGATGCAAAGCAACGTTGTCATAGTGATTCAGTAGTAAGTATTACAAATGGCAACGTCGCATTATTATTTTCACACCGGCAAGCGAATAAAAATCTAATAGTAAAAGCCATATAGCTGAATATTAACAGATGTATAGATATTTATGAATCCTAGGTTGTACTAAATATATTGAAATCCAAAGCTTTTAGATATTTTTCTGCAGTATAATATATGACCACTCTGGTCATATATTTATTGACTGCGCTACGGTAACATATTTATGAACAATTTATACAACATTTTATTGATTTATAAATGTGTATGGAACTATATGATCCTTTTAACGCTTACAATATTTTGAAACATTGGCACTGCGAATATATTATTGAACTCGACTGTACCATTGCGGAGTATTTCCCTTAGAGATCGTTTTATATAGCTATCCCCTGATCTTGAATTTCAATTTAGCCACTGGTGATTGATTCGTACGATGTGTACATTTTACAAATGTATTCACGAAAGAAGAATCTGCCCAGATGAGCCAAGCGAAGCGTAAGGGCACTACCTAACATTTTTACGACCTCAAAAACACAAAGGTGGAGGTTCTTAATTCGACTGTATTTTTTTTGTATGTTTGTTACACGAAATCTCCGTCAATTGTTGATTGATTTTGAAAATTATTTTTGTAATCGAAATCGAGATCCCAGAGTCATCGAGAGAAACCCTCAAATTTTATAGCCCCGACAACGTGTTTTAGGTTGTTTCTCTAGCTATACATAGATTTGCGTTTGGTAGCTGTTATCTCATGTTGCTAAGCTGATGATGGAGGAGTCCTTGACCTTTGGGATTTAGAGGATAACTCTTTCAATAATATATTGTTATAGGTGAATATATTGCTAAGTGTTAAGGTTCGTTGATTTGGAATAATAAATAAATTACAATATTATCATCTATGGCCCTTGTTTCATTCTTTCAAGATATTTGTTAGGTGTTGTGTTACATAGCACATATGCACAAGAAAGTAATAAATGAGAATACAAAATATTTAAATAAAAAACGTTTGTTACGCAATTATTTTCATGTTTTTACCTCAAAAATCTTTAATTTGTAAACCAATTAGGTAAATTATGATAGATAAAATATTAATTATTTAGATTTTATAGATATTTAGAAAACCCCGACTTAGTCACTGACTCACTGATGATCTATCAAAATTTTAAGGGCAGGTTACTTCCTGAAGGTTAAGATAAAGATCAAGTCCCAGAAAGCTGAAATTCGATATGTAAGCTAGTATTAATACACAAACAAAAAAAATCTTAAAACTTAGAACTTTTACCCTTCAACCCCTTAAACTAGGGGCTGGAAGTTTGTATAAGACTTCCGCAAATTTTGATCTTGCTAGAGGTCTGAAAATTGATAAGAATGAACAAAATAAAAAAATATTGTCATAAGCAACTTAGATACAAAAGGAAGTAAAATCCCACCAAGAACATTTTCATGTAAAATATTGCCAAGACGAGACCTAATCGTACGCACTGTCAAAAAGATATCAGATCTCATGTAGAGAAAAGCTTCTAACTCTACATGCCCTAACTCTACCAGGCCTAACTTCACAACCTCTACACCTTTGTCAAAATATGTGGCTTGTTCGTTTCGCTACCGACGTAAGGGCAAAGGGTGAAAATTTTATTTCACTACCGTCACATGGGCGTAAGGTGAAAATTTTATAAACTGTTCATTACTTTTCTGTTATACAATAGTTCTTGTAGTAACGAATCGGCCAAGCCACATTTTTTTACTAAGGTGTAGAGTTTGCGACATTGGGGCTTGGAAGCATAACTCTACATGAGATCTGATAACTTTTAGTGCGAGCCATAAGGTTTCGTCTTTGAAACACTTTACATGAAAATGTTATTGATTTGATACTTTTCCCCAAAGCTCTATATTATGTGATCACAAAGCTCTTATGGATATTTAGAACTTATATTGATTTCAAAATTAATATAGCATATAATAGACTCAGTTAAACTTACATTTGATAAACAGTTTTATAGTTTTTAAAACCGCATAACATTTTACAAAATGAAAATAAAATTTTATAAAACTGAAAATTCAGATATACACTGATATACAAATGTCGTACTAGATATTTTTTTTTACTGCTAGAAAACTACCGATAATTAGGTATTATTAAAAATTCATTGATCCTCCTCGGAAAAAATAACCATAGAGTAATGTCCGTGGGGATAAAAAGTAAAAGACAGTCTTAACCTTTCGGTGTAACGGTATGACGGAATCGACCCAACTAAAACTACATTGTGAGCCACACTGTGCTTAAAGTAGGAGGGATCTGGAAACAGCTTTTTATTAATACATTCAAACCTCTAATACCTCCTCCACAAAAGCGCGGATACCTTTTATTTAGGCGATAGAAGCCCTACGCTTGGTCGATGCAATGTTAGTTCCTTACTACAGTCATCAGACTCAATCAAAGCGAGCGTAGTGAATAGCTGGTAAAGACCAGCGCGCACGCCGCTTCGTCGACACAGTGCGGTAACCGCGTATGGCTCTAAGGGCGCTAGAGGCGTGCCCGTTTCTAGGCAGTCAGATCAAATTCACGTACATGGGTGCACCGTACAGTGCTATTGACTGGACAACCCCTGTCAGCCGTCTTATCGCGACGCTGGCTGCACCTAAATTGGACAAAAGTCACCCTAGGGTAGAAGCAACAAAGACCACGTCAAGAATCGTCCTAAAACGGTACGAGTTCCGAATCGACCACGATGGAGACGACGGGGGCACACCATAATGGGGTCCATGGAAAAAAGGGTCTCCGTCTTATCCAGGGCCACTCGTGGGGCGACGTCTAAGGGCCCAGTCGTAACCCATATCCCGAAGGAGTGGTCCAAAAACAGACCCCTGCGGAACACCGCACGACATGGGCCGTTGCTTCAAGGCACTATCTTGGCCCTCGTACATGACGGTACGCCCCTCTAAGTAGTTTGCCACTAGCCGCCGTTAGTCCCTCTGATAACCTGCCACCCATTGTCGGAGTGGGGAACGGAGGGAATTCTACCCCAGTTTCTGGCGCGATCTTAGGACCAGTCTTCGGTGCGGCCGTCCTTTGAGCTGCCTTGGACGCCCGTCCCGCCTTCGTTGCGACCGCTTTCGCTTTCTTTCCACTGCACTTTCGCCCTCAGGAAAAAGAAATTAAACTTTCTTGGAACCCGCAACGAAATTAATCAGAAGAGTTGGAAATACAGTAAATCCACTTCCCTCCTTACCAAAGTGTAAGACAAAATGAAGTAAAATAGGCATACACCCTTTTAAACAGGGAAGAAGCACGGCCACAAAATATTATAGGTCCTAAGTAAGCTATATTTGATTTCTATAATATGTATGGCAGAATCGCCTAATCGCACGGAAACTCACCCTAGTTGACACAATATCCCCATAATATACCGGCATCTACTTCTTTTTCTCCTTTCTGTTCTTGTTATTTAATTTTGTGATTTTATTTGAATCCATGATTAATCCCACGAGTGGGGAAGAAATAAAAGTCGACCGGGGCAGAGATCTCCAATACCCCGGGTATAGCGTATATCGTAGCGACCCTGCGGCAGCTGGAGTGCGCTTACGACTGAACTACTAATCAGCCACGCATCCCCAGGCTACGCACCAGAACACGGGATTCAGAGTAACCTTTTAAAGAGGTTTTCTTCCTCGTAGACCGGGTGGCTAAACCAAGACCCTCGCCCCTATAACCACGACACTCCTACCGGGATTACATTAGGTGCAAACGGCGGCAAGGAGACACAGTCCCTATTGCCTGCTTGGTGGCAGTGTAAGTGCTCACCGAGCCCGTCGTCGTTCCTCCACTTTGGACACACTTTATATAGGTACTAACATTAGAGCTAATTCTGTTGTTCGAAAACTCTCCAAAGCTAAACTAAAAATCAGATTTTTAGTTTAGTTTCGTGATTTTTAATCTATCTAATTTTCTATTTTTATATCTACATTTTGTTTTCTATATGTATAGCAAAGTAGTTATTTGTCAATTACGGTAGTGTCAGTGTGGTGAATTAGGTAGTGTTAACTAAACATATTAAAATATTCTGAAGGCTAGAGCTCAACGTGTCCTTGATCCTTGCGCCTCAATGCTTTGCAAAAGCAAAAGATCTCTCAGAAGTCTAGACCCTAGGCTGCAGCCTTATTAGGTTATAGGTAAGTAAGGCCCTGATATAATATTATTAAATCAGAATAAGACTGTCAAACCGTCCTATTTCTTTACAATTTGACTCTTTTTTTTATGGTATAAGGGGACAAACGAGCCGACGGGTCGCCTGATGGTAAGCAACTACCGCCGCCCATGGACACCTGCAACTGCAAAAAGTCACAAGTGCGTTACCGCCCTTGGAGTCCCTCCCGGTCGAGTCAGCGGGAGGGGGGATTTGGGCTCCGGTAACCTCACTCACTTAGTGAAAGGCAACGAAAGAATTACTTAACACCGGTTTTCTGTGAGGCCGTGGTATCACTCCGGTCGAGCCGGCCCATTCGTGCCGAAGCATAGCTCTCCCTTATTTGGCAACCTCACATTTCAAATGTCAAACAAAATGTTACCGAGACCATGCCGTAACTATATCGACTCAAAAGCATTCTCCAAACTAACTTTAAGGCTCGAAGGTCGTATCGGTTCGGAAATACCGAATAATAGATAATTAAAAAATAGCTTGTACAGATAATGCTTGCATTCATGATCATCATCAGCTTATCGCAGTATCGCAGTCCACTGCTGGACATAGGCCTCTCCCATTGTTTTAGGGATATTTAAATATATTTATAAGCGAAATATATAAGCGATTTAAAAAAAAACTATGACAGTTAAGTTGCAGATGTATTAAAAAAAAACATGTTCGTATTGCCAGCTGTCTAACCAGGTATTAAGTAATATAAGTCTAAGTAATTATCAGAATTCAAAGAAAAAACTTAGATGAATGATCAGGTCTAGGCTAGTAAAAACTTGGCTTGTACTTTTGAACTATTGCTAACTGGATTTTGATTTGCTCTTCGGATACTGTTGAACATGAGGACCTATACGAACGAGGAATATGTTGATACTCTGATTTGTTACGGATACGGACATTGATGATTGATTGTTACAGCCGGTGGCCTGTGTTGCTCTATGTTGTTACATTATTACATTACGGATTAGCAGGGATGTTAGACGTACCAAGTTTTTGGTATACGTACAATTGTTCAAGGTCTTGTACCATGTATCAACTAAATAACTTTCCATTATTATCATATACATTAAAAATAATTTATTGTATTTCTTGTATCTAACAATATATAAGTTCTTGTTGTACAACATCGACTACTGTAAAAATTTACAATTTATAAGGATATTTATTTTTGAAGTTAATTAATAACTTACTTCAGATTAACTTTATCAATCGAGCGAATTATCCATGGATTACGGGTATCATTTTGTCAGAAAAAAAAATTGGGTCAATGTAACCCACGGTTGATTGGTTTTATTTTTTTCAAATTCTGTATAGACATTTATAAGATCTAATAATAAAAACGTCAACGAATAATGAAAATAGTTACTATTAGTTTTGATATTAATAATAACTATTATTGGTATTTATTTATAAGGTATGATTTTTTTAAATAATCAAGAATTTCTTCGACAATTCAAAATTTCATGCAACAGATCAAAACAGAAAATAAACGATTTATTATTATTATTCTCTTTATTAAATTATTTATACATATTAATTACATTTTTAAATATATTACAAAATATATATTTTTTTTTATTCAAGTCAGATCATATAAACCGCCCCGCGTCGCTCCCGGTGCAAAGGTTCCCGATACTGGCAGCATCGCCTCGCTGAATTGCAACGGACATCCTTTGCACCAGAAACGAGCCGGAGATAAATAAAAATACATTTAAAAATACAAAAAATATTAGAGCACCGACATCGGGTACAGGGACCAGGACACCGGTGGTTAGGACTCCAAAGATAGTAACCTCCTCACTATACGAGCCGTATCAAGGAGGACTGCCATCTGCATCAGACCCTTGATCCAGCCGGCCAACGTGAGGTGTTAGTCGAGGCTCTTGGCTATCAATCCGTGAGCAGATACGACTATCAGAACAATGATCACTGAATCGACATTCCACATATAGACAATCTCGTGAGATAAATCCAAATATTTTATTTGTTTTTCTTTTTCAACTTTCACGAGATTCTCGTCATGAGGAACGGCGATATCAACAATCATTGCGCGACGCTCTAATCGATCTAACACTACAATATTAGTCTTATTAGCAACAATAGGCCTATCTGTGATAATAGATATGATTATTATTATTATTAATATAACGTGATTGTGAGTGTACCAATTAAAAAAAAATACCAGTTTTTAGCCTTTTAGCGAAAACTGCACCAGCTTTGGATCACCACAATCTACATCCCTAGTTTTTGGTGCTGACAGTACTTTTTTGACAATTCTTCTTGAGTGAAGTTGACGTAGTTAGGAATGTTCCGATACCATCAAAGTATCGATACCTACTCATATCAGTAGTACTCAAATCATTTTTCGATACCCCTCATACAAATACTCCTTATGTATCGATACTTACTGATATCGATACTTTTAGATTTTTTTAAATAAAACTAATGTAGCAAATGATGATGTAAAGAACAATAATTTTGTAAGGGCAAAAATTAAAAGTAAAGTAATTAATTAACTAATGTTTATTTAACAAAGTTTTTTTTTTGGATTAGGGGTCAAACGAGCAGACGGGTCACCTGATGGAAAGCGGCTACCGCCGCCCATGAACGCCTGCAACTCAGGAGTCACAAGCGCGTTGCCAGCCTTTGTTATCTTTTTTCTGTAATTTGCCTTTATCCACAGTAATTCCATGAGTTTTGGAATGCCTAAATAAATTAGACGAATTACCACAATAATTCACCGGCTTAAAACATTGTTTACATTTTGCAATTGTTTCGTTTATTTTGGTAAAATAATAATAATTAAAAAGGTAAAATATTAATGATTTTGGTAGTGCCATGATAACATTGGAACATTAAACCAATGACTACAATACATTCAATTATTCGTAAACAATCACTTGTGTGTTCATATTATTAATATTGCTGTGCTGAACACTGCTGACTGGACAGTGACAAATAATTAGGATGAAATGGCGGTTTCGGCTCGAGTCGATAACCGAGAGAGAGCTTCCGCTCTCTCGTTCTATCTGATGCGTTCGGAAGTAAGGATATTTTAATAAAAAATAAGGTCAGTCTGATTTGATTCGATATCAAGTACTTTTGTTTCGATACTGAGTAAGTATCGTAAGATTGATTCGATTCTATTAGTACTTGGTATCGAATGAAAAGTATCGAGTACCTACTCGTATTTATTAGTATCGGAATGTCTCTAGACGTAGTTGCTATATAACTTCTTTTCTTATAATAAAGATTATTAATCACATACCGTAATAATTACCGCACTGCTATATTGTATGAATTTTGACTTTTGCCAGTAGCCCTGTAGCACTTTCATTTTGAAATATGTTATCAACTGACATGTAAAAACAACCCGAACTCATATTCTAACCTTACTTGTTCAGAAATGTTATACAACACAATTTTATAGAGAATGATTCACAAGTGGTGGCATAGGTTTGTCCGCAAACGGACTAAACCTATTCCAGAAGATACAGCAGTACTTTGGAAGCGTCGGCTGAGTATAGTTTATGGATTATTGGCATGGAATGCATTTGGTATTGTTTTATATAGTGCTTTTAAAGGAAAAACTGATTGGGCTCATTATTATGGCATCAAATCTGATGAAGAATATTCCACTCCCCCAGGTGAGATTAATATGTAGAACAATGAATTCATTGAGTCTGTTACCCAAGTTCACATTACCATCTGATTATTGTTTTTTACAGGTCAAGCTTGGGCAAGTACTTTGGGAATAAAGAATGCTAAAGTGTATAGAATATCAGGCTTCAAAAAAGTGGATGAATATGATATTATTGATGGGCAGGTTGACAAGGGTGAAGTTGAAAGCAGAACAGATGATATTATACGAGATGATGATAAATATCAATGAAAATTTATGTTCTATAGTTTAATAGTTCTTGGGATTTTAGTCTGATTGTTGTAAATAAAAAACCATGTTAATAATTTATACCTTTATTTTTAATTTAAGGCACTTGAATGAGAATTATATAAAATATCTTTTGTCATTTCAATTATAATCTTATGGAATATAATATACTTAATTATCTTAACATGGATTCTTAGCCAAGTTATTAAATAACTAATGGCTTTGTAAGATCACAGTACAAAAGGCAAAATATCACAATATCAACAGTTTGAATGTGTATGATATGTAATCGCAGCATGTCGTCTACGTTCAATTTCTTGTAGTAAAGCAGATCTGCAAAATAATGCTGATTTATCAGTTCATAATAATATGTATAAATATACAATTACTCTATTTTAGTATCTAAGAAACCAATTTGGTATTCATTTTTTAAATTACCAAGATCTTATCCAATAATAGTTAATTTAGGGTTAATTTTTATTTCTGATAAAATTCAATTAACATATAAAAATACTTCATTTTGAAATACAATTTTTGAGACAAACTCAAGGGCTCTCTCTTTACAAAGGTATGGATTGAACTCAGAACAAATGGTAAGATGAACATTTAAACAACAAAGATACATTTTATTCATATATGATGAAAGTTTTATTAGTGTGTAAATCAATCTGCAAAAAAAGTTGTATCACTACTTGCCTGTATCTTTCATATTTCATAACAATAAGTTGCAGCTCTTGCTTGTACAATCTAGTCAGCATGTCAGAGTAGCAATCTAGTTCACTCAGCCTAAACATATTCCAACGGAGTTTGTGATCAAGCTCCTGATCAGCTGGAAACAAAAATCATATTTTCATTCATTTACATTATGAGTTTTCACATCAGAATGCTGATTTTACTACAAAAATAATGTTGTTTTAAATATATTATACAACAATATTTACATTAAAAGTACCATAACATGTTTTTTTTCACATTCGGTGAATAGGCTATTTGACTAAGTTTAGAAAATGTTTCAGATTATTCTATACATGATATTGTACATAGTACATTAATATTTATGAGAAATTAGACCTATATATATTTAAAAATCGCTATTAAAGTTTAAATTTCTAAATCCGCGGCAAAAACGTACCCTGACGTCACACGCCAGTCACCTTCTCAAGGGCAAGAGAGGGACAAGGCCTCAAGATCATGTAGTAACGTAATTGACATATGACATAAACAAAACAGTGCTGACGTGGTTATAAAGTGAATTTCATTATTTTTGTTAAGATATATTAGATAAAATGGCATATAAATGGGGTGGTGTCAAAATGTAAAAATACGTCTAAGCGTACGTTCCCACTTAGACGGACCGTCTGTTTAAACGGAAAACGGCGACACTTGCACCAGCAGGCTCCGATCAGTTTGTGTTCAGTCTTCGTACACGATGGACGACGACGACATCCCAATGTTGTGGTGGTATTTAAGAAGAAGAAGAAAAAGTAAAATAAAACATTGGGTGCATCCTATTCTACGAGAAATATTTTCAGCTGGAACATTTGAAATATTAATGGGTGAATTAAGAAATGATGAAACAAAGTTTTCCTTGAGCACCGAAACCCAAATGATGTTTGCGAAGTGATCCGCGGGGCGCATCGCGGGTTACCGCGGGTAGGAGGGAGGCACATTGGTGCCATCTCGTCAGAAAATTCGTTCACACTATATCCGATCCGGGCGTTTAGACGGCTCTTCGCAGTGGCAAAACGTCCGTTTAAAAACCCGGATCCGTTCTTTTTTTCGGATCCGTCTGTGTCGAATGTGAATATTGTAATATAAGTTGTACTGCCACTGGCATAGCCGTCTCTTTAGACGGACCGAGAAAACGGACGGTCCGTCAAGTGGGAACGTGCGGTAAAACTACTTCACACAAACTATTTGTTTCTGTACCAACGGATCCTAAGCCGAAAACTGTGGTTACAATTAGCAGTTAGCATTATTTGTACCACTTCTTTCAGAATCTATTAAAAAATGTTTAGTCGTCACGTCACAGACTTGTTTCAATAAATGTGCCTTCTCATAAATAATAACTTATAAGAGATTTAGAACAATTTGGGTCACTTTTTATGTATTTTTAGTTGCATTACAAAATAGACCTGTAATGTAACCGAGTAGACTTCAACACAATTTGTTGTTGTCACTTCGTACCGACGGTCCTTAGTTTCCGGACTTTATCGATTTTAAATCGTTGCTACAACAACACCAACGTATCTCTTATATTACATCAATCAGATTTAAAAAAAGGTCGAATCTATAGATGTAAGGCCGGTTTAAAACCAATCCGTTTAAAACGACAAAAACAACATTTATTTTCATTCTAAACGGTTAGTGTTGATGACTATGTTTTCTTAATTATAACTAGGTACATGTTTTTGATTTTACAGAGGTAGGGATATGACGGAGTACCTTTTTTGTAGGCGAGTTTAAAACTGGGTTAAAATTTGGGGGTTTAAAACGGCAACATTTTATTTAAAACGTTTTAAATTTACATCTATAGTCGAAACTTAACCATGTAGTGATATATTAAGCACAGACACTAAAATGATGTAATTATAATTGCCTTAAGATTATCGTATCATCATTTCTTAAATTTAATCATAAGGTAGGAAGAGGAGGAAAAACATTTTTTTGTCTATTTCCTAATACGTAGTTACTTACCTTTTGAATAAATAATTAACCAATGAGGTATCTCTTCCAGTAGATAAGGTGGCACAAGAGTAGGAACATAGGGGCTAACTAAGTAGCAACCACCCACCAAGCACGGATGAGCGTAAGTTGTTTGATGAGTTATTTCACTGTAACGTAATTAAAATTACATGAACATGTCTGTTGAAGGTGAAGAATATGGTACTAACGGTTTATTTTAGATTAAACATTGTGTGAACAGATAAGTACTTGTTGAAGTTCTTGCTCAGATTGTGTCAATTTAGTTATACCAACTAAATGGAGATTGTTTATGCATAAATCAGCAGGCCTAGTGACTAAACCCTGTACTTTATTAGCTCATAAAGTACAAATAAATTTGAAATGGAATGAAGTATTGCCTACTTAAAATAATAAACTCCATGATGTGGAGTAGAAACCCGCTGCCAAGGTTGTGGCACACTTTCAAGGGGGTGAGTCCAATGTGTGGTTTGTGTGTTATGGTCCATGTAGTATCTTCGACCCCGTAAAGTCCTGTCTGCTGACCAACCCGGAGGTAGTGGAAGCTCACTTTCATCAGAAGCTGAAAATCGTAATAGAATACATGTATTTAAAAACAAATTGAGGTAAAAACTATTGCATTTATAGAATAAAGGTCAAGGCACATTTTCACGGCACCGCTTCAACCCAGCGATTAACTTGTCATGTGAATTTGACCATTAAATCGTGTGTTAGACATTTTACAACGTTAATATAAAAAGCTCGCGTCAGGTTGTTAGCGCGCTTGTCGCTGCCTAACAACTACGAATTGCTAGGTAGCTGTAAGCATACGGTCCGTGCGGTTCAATCGTGCGAACTGCATGCTTACAGCCCGCCGACTGCGAGCCGCCTGCCAGGTGTCAGCGAGCAAAACACCGCCGCATCTTCTACCTTGCTGATCGCGAGCTCGCGCCTCAGTCGCGAGCATGCAACTCGCGACTGAGGCGCGTACTGCGAGCTTGCACTTCACGAGTAATGCCTAGTTAGTGCGCTGGCGGTAGCCAAAATATGAGCTGCTCCATTACGGTGCCATGACCTTTAATGACAAGATTTTGTCATTGTAGTTGAAATTTCAAGTCCATGTTCCTAGACCATTGTAGTGAACCCATCTTTTGTACAAGCTAAAAATTAATAATAAAATTTACATAGAATACTAAAACTATATACTAACCTTGACCACTTGTTATCATTTTACTGCCATGAGCCTTATTGTATGAAAGACCTGATGTATTTACATAATTAGAGTATATTGGTGAAGACTGACTTGCTGTGGCATAGGCTTAAAATAAATATACAAATAAAATTTTTAGAAACTAACATGACAAGTATAATAAAGTAAGCGAAATATATCCTGTGTTATATTTTTAACACACATTTTTACTAACAGTTAGCAGTACTGCTAGAACTTTCCTTTACTTTTTAATTTGGTTTACCATTAAAGCATGTTCCATTTTGAATTTTTACCAAACTATAAATTGACTGCACAGATGGCGTAGTGGTTTAAGCCGTCGCCACGCCGCTTCCTACCCCCACAGGACGACACTGTGCGATCCACAAATTTTCGTTCTAAATCTGGGTATTTTTTGTGTCTGTTTCTTGTATGGTTGTAAAGTCCCCCTCAACACATGATTTACTCCTAGTGCGGGAGTAGTCTAATTTAATTAAAAAAATTGGTAAACAACAAGTGAACAGCCAAGCCATGAAGTAGGGTCTATGGGAAGCTTGCTATGAATACACTTTTTTTTTATTCAATTCTTTTTGCACAAACAACAATGGCGGACTTAATGCCACAGGCAAACTAAATGATATTATATATATTGTTTTTATTTTATACATACAATCATTGCAGTTATGTAGCTGTATTGAGTGTGGGGATGGAGGATGAAGTCTTGGTGTTAAACTCATGTTGGAAGACAATCTTGGTATACTAGATTCTCTTGAACCATATTGCTGTTGTTTTTGTTGTTGAACCTGATAACAATAATAATAGTGTTTTAATAGGAAAATATTAAAGAAAATCTAGATTAACTTATGAATAAACCAGTATAAAATTCTAACTACTATTAAAGTTTAAAAAGTCATGATCACAATGTTTTGTTTTTGTTGTCAAAAATGAAAGAACATACCATGTATTTAACTATGTAAAAATGAAACACATTTTGTATGCCGAGAGAAGCATGTCTTTGTGGTAAATGCATTCTAGTACTACAATAACAACACTTTTTATGACATTCTTTAAATTTCTGGTTGCCAACTGCTTTAAGATTTCTATAAAAAGAGATTTTGTCTGCTTAATCCAGTTAGTGCAATAAGAATTTAATTAGAGTTTCTAAATACATACCAAGTTTAATAAATAAATAATAATAATGAGTTTTTAAATACATTTTTTTTATAAAATATAATATCAGATTTTGAACTAAATCTACCATGAATAGGTACCACTTACAAAAAACAATATTGTTCCATGTTTAGACAGTAGTAGAACTAGGAGTGTAACCAAACCCACCTGTTGTTGATTTTGATATATTGGATCTTCCTGCTGTTGACTATAATATCTGTAGCTAGTCTGTCTACTGAATGAGTCATCTATTTCATTTAGAGTTGTATGTGAAGCCTATTGAAAGCAATAAGTATATTATTAGTTTTTAACAAGCCTATTGAGATATGACAATATATTTACTCGAAAATGATTATTTACCACATTAGGATCTAACAAATATTGTGAATTATAGGTGTTTGTTGTACTTCCTGTATCATTAGTAGACAAATTCGCAAACCTACAAAAGAAACAAACAACTGAATATAAATGTGTATTAGTGCAATTTATGTCTACTACTGATAACTCAAAATTTTATGTACCTGTGTGCTAAATTTGGTACTGACTCACTGGGTGTATATTTTCCCGCATGACCACTCATTGTCTGTGCCTTGCCAAATTTATTCTCATGGCTTTGAGAGACAGCATCATTTGCACCAAAAGGCTGACTACGGGGTCTTTTGTTATGTCCCGTTGTCCACACATTTATAACTAAAAATTAACCATGGATATACAAAATTATTTATGTCATCATTAATAAATAAATTCACAAGAAGTTAAAATCAAATACGATATAAATTACCACAAATAAACATATAACAATTATGTGATGTTAAACATATTACTCACTCGGCAAATCTGGTGGCGTATCTTTTTTTATATATTTACCAACTACGCCTTCATTAATGGCTTTTTGACCTTTCCTTGATATCATGGTGAAATACAGAAGAATTTCTCACTGTGATATCATGTTTTCTGCCTTTATTACGAAATGACAAACATTGTTGCCTTCTCCGAAACTTCAAAATGTTATCCATAGTCCATAGATAATACACTATATAAGGTATCTCTATTGGTACTGTACTGTACAGATCTGTTTTTTTTATTGACTAGTTTACTGATCTTTTGAGCATAAATATACTCTAAAAAGATTTGTAAGAATATATCTAACTTTAAAATCCTCTCCTGAACGAGTTTACTGACATAATGATTGTTTTACTCAAAATCAGTGCTGGGTACATATAGCACAATTATGGATTAGGTACTTTTTATTTACAAAATACACCCTAATAAATACTATGTTATTTATTTGTTAGTTAATTTTAAAAGAAAATATCCCACGATCCGATGGTGGCTAACAAGTGTACACGTATAATTGTACGGCCCGAGGCCCGTGTAATGGCAAGTGGTTTCTGAAGCCTGTAGACATATTCAATTCCACGGTAGTCGCGTAATTCAAGTACACTTTAATCATTCTAGAAACAACCCATACTCTGACGAGATTTTGTCTGGAACTCTTAGCGCAAATTCTCCGGTTGCGGAATGAGTTTTTATAACCAGAGAGTTTGCGGTGAAAGTGCCATGGTAGGAGTGGAACGCCCTGCCTTCTGGGAACGATGCAATAGTGGCTGCCTCGGAGCACGGATTTACAAAGGCGAGTAGAAAATTAACAAGAATAAAAGTCACTCCTTGGGGTAAACCCATACTGGTATTCAGGTCCTCCCTCCTAGAGATGACGCAGTGCTGTTTATGAGTAAGGACATACATATAACTTGTATAATTACAGTCTATCTCAATCTCGATGTATACCGTCTATAAATCACACTCAGTTATTTTTATTTTTTTTATTTTATATGATGTGTAAGGTTTAACCTGACCTCTGATCTGATCTGACATCAAACCTATCATTATAATCTGACAGTCTTATCTAGTATATCTAAATCTCTTTGATCAAATCTAATTGCACATGCTTCCACGGTTTCTTGTAACGCACTTCACACCCTTTTCAAGAAATCACTCATTTCAGGAAAGCCTTTCGCTTTTCTCTTAAAGATGTTACAGTTATTATTATATTATTATATTATCATCCAACTAATAACCGTTTAAACTCCGCCACAAAATAAATCGTCAATCAATAAATTCGTTAAATGAATAAACAATCACAAATGTTGGATTTAAGTTTTGTTATGTCAAACTTTGGTTAATTGTTGTTAGTCTTTGTTGTCACTGTCAGTAATGTCAAAGTTGCGCATGCTGAGCAGTTTTCGAACTAAAATAATCCAAAAGAATCAAAGTATTCAATCAAATCACAAAACATAGGTTTCTTGCTGTGTGGATACTTACGCTTAGATTTTGTAATCAATTAATGCAGCATTCTTTAAAGGCTATATTTATTAAGTATTGTATTTTGCCTAGCAATTTACAGAATGTTCTATTTAATAGGTTTAGGGTTAGGCGATGCTAAAGACATTACAGTTAAAGGATTAGAAGTTGTTCGAAAATGTGATAAAGTTTTATTAGAGGGTTATACTTCAATACTCACTGTCGGAAAGGAAATATTGGTAAACGTTTTTTTTATGTTTTATGTATTGAACTGAAATAAAGAAGAAAAAAATAGACACAACGTTATCTAAACGTCTACTCAGGTCATATAAAAAAAAAAGGTATATTTTTAAAGTTAGTCGCTTTGAAACATATGGCTTTGACTGTACGGATGGCGTAGTGGTTTAAGCGGTCGCCACGCCGCTTACTACTACGCTAAGTGCTGTGGGTCCGATCCCCACATGGGACTACACTTTGTGTGATCCACAAATTGTTGTTCTCAGTTTGGGTGTTCTTTGTGTCCGTTTCGTGTATGTTTGTAAAGTCCCCTGCGACACAGGATATACTTATTCCTAAAGCGGGAGTTGTCTTTTTAAAAATAAAAATAAAATAATATTAAATCCTTTTCGTTCGTGGAAAGGTTATGGCAATATATTTCATAAATCTTTAGTGTATATCTTTTATGCATGTTTTGAAATATATCTGAGTAAATTTTATACATATCTACTGTTTTAGGAAGAATATTACGGCAGACCATTGGTGCTGGCAGACCGTGACTTATGTGAAAGTGCAATAGATGAAGTATTAATTGAGGCCAAAGATAAAGAAATTGCCTTATTAGTTGTGGGCGATCCCCTTGGTGCCACCACCCACACGGACATGTTACTAAGAGCAAAACAGTTTGGAGTTCAAACCCAGGTGATCAATCCATGTTAATGTTATATGAATGTTTCTTTATTTAATGTTGATCTGTCTATTTCAATATCATTTATTTTTTAATATATTACACACAAATAGGGTCTGGTTTTATGTATCACTAAATAGTGCATTTGATGTTATGGTTGGTAACTAAAACATAATGTAATCAATCACCGATTTTCAAAACCAATAAAACCAAACTTACTAAGGATTACAAATGTTCTACATAATTGATGGGCATATGGTTATATTTGTAAATATTTATATTAAAAAAAATTCAATCAATGTATTGTCCCATATTCAACTTTAAGTAGGCACATTATTTTCTCTCTTGACTTACAACAGTAGAAATAATTAATTCTCTGAGTTATTTAACAGTTAAATATTTATTTTTCAATTAAAATATTTAAATTCAAGTAATTCAAAACATTGAATTCAATTTAATAGTCATTTCAACATAACTTTCCTTGTAATATTAAAAAAATCTTTTTCTATCTGTCTTAGTAGGTTTTAAGATTACAAGAATAAATTACATCATAAAAATTACCGATCACCCCACTGAATGGGTAATAACAAAAAATCTGCTGCTGGAGACGTCTACCGTAAACTTATGTATATATTTGGTAAAATAAACTTTTCTTATTATACTGTTTTCAATAATTATACTCATTGAATCCCAGAAAACTAAGGACTTCTAGATAAAACTCCCTATTTTGGAACAAAAGCATGGGGTCTAAAAAGTTTTGTACAATTGAAATAGTCTTACAATAAAATTTTAAGTTTATGACTTGATTTTACCCATATCTTTACACACACCTACATAGTTTATGCATATCCATCTATACTCATAAAGTTTCGAGTTTATAATTTTAGTAAGAGAGCTAAACCTTTCCAATAAAACTAAAACTGAAGGATAACAATATGTTTAGACTTTGTAACAATCTGTTTTACTGATTATTATTAATTCCTGATTGATTACACAGAATTACACAGTATCTGCCTGCTAATTAACTGTTAAATGTAAACTTGCTTTCAGATTATTCATAATGCATCCATAATGAATGCGGTGAGTTGTTGCGGTTTACAATTGTACAACTTTGGGGAGACCGTTTCTATACCTTACTGGACCAACACATGGAAACCAGACAGCTTCTTTGAAAAAATTGTTGCAAACTTTTCAAGAAACCTTCATACACTATGCTTGTTGGGTAAGTTTTGCTCCTCTGTTTTGTTTCCTTAATTAAATATACTAATGTATTAATTGCAACTCTCTGCAACAAAATGATATTCAGAGGGATCCGCTTCGACTTCAACGCTCGTCTAACCCATTTCTTAGCTCTTGTTGTTATCAATATTCGTACTACACACACAAATGATTGTGAGCGACGCAACATGTGAAAGAAACTAATCCTAAGTTATACATCTTATGATTGTAAAATTGGTAGTCTTATACACAAGACACAGACTGCAGTGCCACAGGTCGTGGGTTCGATTTCCGCTCAAGACAAAAAATTCTGTGATAAGCGTGATTATTTGTCATGTGTCTAAATATTTACATTCAGTCAAAAAAGTATAAGGAATGGATGATTTGTTTATGGTTACAAATTCAAATTTTTTTTTGTTGTTAGATTGGCATATCTGTTTTCCATTTTGGCTGTTGCTGTTTTTAGTTATATCATATCTAGTGTGTATTGCGAATTTCATAATGGACAAAACAAAGAGTTTGTCTTAAATTTTGCATCACCAGAAGAATTTCATGTTCGGAGTCAATGAAAATGTTACAGAAGGCTTACGGTGAATCGACTTTATCACAAACACGTGCTTATTAGTGGTACAAAGCGTTCAAAAGCGGTCGAGATGTGATGGAAGATTTGCCTCGCTCTGGTAGGCCATCAACGTCTGCAACTGAAGTTAACATCGCAAAAATGTAGGAAATAGTGACTGAAAATCCTTATTCAAATTTGAGAGAGATAGCCGCCGAACTTTCTGTATCTCACGAGTCGATCCGTAACATTTTAACTAATCATTTGGGTGTGAAACGTGTTACTTCTCGGCTAGTTCCAAAAGACCTGAATTTTCTCAAAAACTCAATCGCATGAGAGTCACTAAGGACATGCCAGAACGAGTCAATTCCGACCCAACATTCATGAAACGCATTGTTACTGGTGACGAGACGTGGGTTTACGAGTTTGACATGCAAACTAGTCAATAAGCTTCCACCACCGAACCGAAAAACCACGCCAAAGTCGATCAAAAGTCAAAGTCATGTTGACTGTTTTCTTTGACTAACTCGGTGTTGTGCACTAGGAATTCTTGCCGGGAGGTCAAACGGTAAATAAAGAATATTATTTGAGCGTTATGCGGCATTTAAGAGAGCAAATTCGACGAAAAAGGTCAGATTTGTGAAAATAAAATTCTTGGATTTTGCACCACGATAATGCGCCTTCGCACAAGGCCATCATTGTGAACGACTTTTTGACCAAACACTTAACAAATACCGTCGAGCAACCACCACATTCACCAGATACGGCTGCAGCCGACTTCTTTCTTTTTCCTTAACTCAAATTACCACTTCGTGGCACCCGTTTTCAATCGGTAGAAGACACTGAACTGAACTCAATTCCGGAAACAGCGTTTAAAAAGGTTTGAAAATTGTATTATTCGTTGGCCTAAGTGTATCGTTTCTGAAGGAGCATACTTTGAAGGTGATAAAATAAAATTGGACAGCATAGGCGCTGCCTACGCAAGGATCAGACGGCCATGTGTGATGTGTAAAATATTTATCTACTAAACTATTTTCAGTCTAAACTATATCTTAATATAGTATAAAATAAAGTCCTTTTTTTTCAAGCTTAGATCTCTTTCAAACTACGTAACGGATTTAATGCAGCTTTGACCAATAGAGAGAATGATTCAAGAGGGGGGTTTAAATGTAGTAGAGGAAAACCGAGAATTTCAAAGATTTGTAATTTGAAAACGTAAATAAATATGTTTTGTGTGCTTACATTGCAAACACTGGCTAAATCTTCCGAGATATTATAATAAATAATGTACTACGGAATTGTATTTCTTAATAAGATCTACAAAAAGGTATGCAATGGTATATGTCTATCTCACAAGGATAAACACAGTAAACATTTTTATCTTATACATATTACAAAACAATAATTGATTATTTACGAAGCTATTTTGAACAACCCAGTATTATTCCTTATCCAAATAAATACGTCAGGTACGTTGTGCATTTAATGTAGATCCTATGAGTAGAGTATATGATTAAAATGAATATCTTAGTAAATATCAGAGATTTAAAACAGACAAAGCGACCGTCGCCGTGTCGGGCCGTACATCCGTCCCGAAGACAGCAGGCAGGGGCGGAGCGGGCCAGTAAATATTGCATATAAAGATGTCCTGTGGTATAGTCTTATCACAATAATAGTATAATTACTCCACACTGAAACCACATTAGTAGTATCTACATTGCAGGCATGCGAAGCCGGGCCGGATCACTAGTAACATTAGGGTTAAAGTATGAAATTGCCGATTTGTACTGAAAAATCAGATCTTGTTTTTTCTAAGATGTAACATATTTATCTAATCCAAATTTTTACCCTCATTATTTATTCATTGCTGCCATCTAAATATATTATTATTATTACTATTTGTATTCAAATTGTATTGAACTCTGGGCTCTAGATTTGACAAACTGTGTGAAAGTATTTTGTACTGCCTCCTTGGAAGAATTTTTATCACGTTGAAAATTGTAAAATCACGAAAAACATGGTAGTCCGTTAGAGCAAGGTCTGGCGAGTACCGAGGATGACGTATGGTTTCTAACTGCAAAACAATGCTGTAGTGTTACAAGGGTTTCTCGTGCAGTGTGAGGTCTTGCGTTATCATGGAGCAATAATGGCGATGGTCGATTCAGGAGTCGGGGCTGTTTCACTGCCAGTTTCACTATCGTCGTTCGAAGTTCGGCACAGTAAACATCTGCTGTTATTGCCTGATCAGACCTGAGAAAGCTATAGTGAATAACACCATGAAGAGACTACCAAACAGTTACCATTACCTTTTTATTGGTAAGCTTTGCTTTAGCGCACTGTTGCGCCGTTTGACCTGGGGTCAGCCGTTGCATTTTTCGCTTACGGTTATCGTCAGCAATTCACTTTTCGTCACATGTCACAATTCGATCCAATATTCCTTCATTTCTGTACCGATTAAACAAGGCAACACAAGTTTCAATACGCATTGCGGATCAGTCAAATCATGAGGCACCCATTTTTCATACTTTTTTATCTTATTGATTTGATTCAAATGAATCAATATTGTAGGTAGGGTAATGTTAAACCATTCCGCTAATTCCTGTGTAATATGACTCGGATCGGCTTCCACCATCTCCTTCAATTCAGCGTTATTCGCCTGTGTGGGCGATTTCCCACGTGGTTCGTTCTTCAACTCGAAGCTTACATTACGAAAGCGTTTAAACCAAAAACGCACGGCGCGTTCATTAGCAGTCTCCTCTCCAAACGCAGCATTGTTTTGCGGGCCGTTTCTGCCGCGTTAGTTCCGCGTCGGAACTCGTATTCAAAAATGACTCGGATTTTCGATGTATCCATCTTTCACGTCTGAGTTGAATAAAAGAAAAACAATTGACAGTCGAAAATCGAATGTTGCACATTTTTTTAAAGAATAATCTCATAGGTATCATATGAAAAAAGTATTACACGAAAATCTCACACCATGAAGGTTTTGTATCAATTCAAAGTATCATTACTATACAACGGCAATTTCACACTTTAACCCCTATTATAATAAAAACAATCTGCAGAGTTTCAGTGTATAAGCAGGCGGGTAATGTTTGCATGAATGCTGAAAATTAAGTACACACTTACTTTCGAAATAAAGGGAACTTTTATTATTATTATATTTTGTTTCTATTATTATGTTTGTGATCTTTTTTAGACATAAAAGTGAAAGAGCCCACTGAAGAATCGTTAACGAAAAAGGTTCGCCAATACATGGATCCAAAGTTCATGTCTGTCAAAGAAGCAGCGTACCAATTGGTACAAATCATTGAAAAAAGGAATGATGCAGGTAACTAATATATTGGTCATTACTTACATTGAAAATAAGTTACTTAATTCATGGAGTGAAGTCTTATATGAGAATATGAAAAAAAAGTCAAAATAAAACGCAGACAAAGAAAACGATTTCTCACGATTTTTTTTCTACCAAAGAATGACTTATATTTATCTGTATTTTTTTTAAAGACCTATATTTATTGGCAGGTAAAATCTTATACTGTATCTATTTGTATCGGTAGATGCTATCTGCATATGTTTTTTATACGCAGATAATAATAGGTCTTTACCTATGAAATTGCCGTTTTGTATGCAATAAGTGAAAGTACTTATTTTTTCAAACTTTTTTATTTCTGTTATTCGAAGTAATCACCCATGCAATCGACGCATCTTTGCCATCGCATTGGCAGTTTATTGATGCCCTTCTTGTAAAAATCAGCTGGACGGGAGGCAACAAACTCTTCAAAGGCATTTTGTACTGCCTCTCAGGAATTGAATTTTTTACCCACTAAAAAGTTGTCTAAATTTTAGAAAAAGTAATAGTCGGTAGGTGCAAGGTCTGGTGAGTATGGCGGATGAGGCGCAGGTAAGCGCGCCTCCGCCGCCCGGTTCGTAGCGTACTACGGCCGGTAGCGAGAGATCCACTCCGATGACTGCAGTGAGGGCCCATGCTGGGCACACCGCCAGCGTGTGCTGGGCCGAGTCCTCACTGCAGTCGCAGTAGTGGCAGGCGGGACTCAATTCCCTCCTGGCCACCGAGTGCAGGTACTTTCCGAAGCAACCGTGCCCGGAAAGCACCTGCGTCAGCCGGTAGGAAAGGGTCCCATGCTGCCGCCCTGCCCACTCGGCGATGACCGGCTGGAGAGCCTCCACGGCGGCGAAGCCAGCGCGTGGAGTCTCCAGCCGGAACGACCATTTGACCATGGTGGCTCGGCGAGCGGCTTCGCGCCACTCGCTCACGTCTTCGCCCTGAAACTTGAAACAAACCCTATACCAACCCAGCGTGGTATAGTAGGCCAGTAACCTCTTGTCTAAAGAGAGGCCTATGTCCAGCGGTGGACTACTAAAGGCTGTTGATCATGATTAATGATGACGAATTTTAATAAATGATAAAAATTAGGTGCAAGTATTCTCTTAATTTCTTTTTTAATGTTCGTAATCAGTGTCATTAAATTTCTTTTTTAATGTTCGTAATCAGTGTCATTATAGATGTGTTGACATATTAAGGAAAACTACGTGAAAACCATTTCAACACGATTGCGTAAAGCGAATCTGCCCTGAAGCGGACAAGGGCACAAAAAATAATATTTGTATATTTATTTTAATTCTGTATGCACAAATATGAGTACAGTGGCGGACTTAATGCCACAGCATTTTCTCCCAGTCTGCCTTAGGGTGGTGCTGAAATGTGTGACTAGGTGCACTAGACTAGGCTTGCCGAACCACGATGACTCGTTTAATGTCCCGGCTGGAGGCTCCACGTACTAGCTTTGGCGCCGTGGAGGCGGTCCATTCGGTCATCGTCTAGTGGGCAGGGTGGCAGCACGTCTTCGTGGTGCTTTCCTGGACAGTGTCGCCGTCAAGTGCTACGCGGACGACATCTCGTGACGGCGTGAGGCAACCCTGAGAGTCACCGCCGGGGTTGCCAAGGTCGTGGAGCGGATCTGGCGGCTGGGTCTCGAGGTGTCTCTGCACAAATCCGAGGCCTTGTTCTTTCATGGGGCCTTAAGGGCAGCAACGTCGCGCTCCTGAGACGACACCAGGGTCATAAAAGGGGTACCGCACGATCTCTTTTGAGGCAGCAAGTCTCCTGGCCGGAACGCCACCGTGTGACCTGGAGGCGAGAGCCCTTGGGCTCTGTATCAGTGGCGCAAGGAAGCGCGGGAGTTAGGTCGGAGTCCTGAGACTCGAGAAATCGAAGACCAAAAGTCCTTGGGGAGGAGTTTAAAAAACGACTTCGGCAACCAAGCCGTTCTTTCCACTCCATTATCGCGGCGGTAAGACCCGTTATGGAGGATTGGCTCGAGAGACATCACGGAACCCTCTCATACCGGTTGATGCAGGTGATCTTCGGAGATCACCTGTATCTGATCCGCAAGGAGCCAAAGCCTGAGTGCCACCACTGCGATGGCCGGACCGTGGACACTGCGCTCCACACGCTGGCAGAATGCCCGGCGTGGGTTGAGCAGAGACGAGACCTCGTGTCGGCCATCTTAGTGGGAATTCTCACGCTCGGTAACATGATTGCCGTTATGGTACGGAGCGAGAGTGCGTGGATCTCCGCCGTCTCCTTCTGCGAGCAAGTAATGCTAGCGAAGGAGATGGCGGAGCGGGACCGGAAGAGATTTAGCTCTCCCGGCCCACCAGGCCCGGGAACGGGCCAGGTACCGCAGACGACTCAGGCGCTGGAAATCGCAGAACGACCTCCGTCCTCCATAAGCGCAGGCCTGGGGGTGATAAGTGAGGCCATCTGTCACCCTAGCTGAGAGCACGGGCGCTTTTTCCGGAGCACAAAGGGGACATAGGGGTTCCCACACAGGAGGGGGTCATCTACACGCTGTAGATGGCCCGAGGTACGACGGGGTACCAGGGATTGCCCGCCTAGGGTACACCTGGTACCCGAGACGGCGTGCGGTTTTTGGTCGGTTCAAGTCCGACCTAACCATCCGACCGATGGGTGGTATTCGAGGGGATTTCCGCACAGAAAAAAAAGGGATCTATATCTTCTAAATGGGAGGTTATTATCGGAGGTGGTGCCTTTTAAAGGGCAGGGCGAGGAGCGGTCCGCAGCCGTCATGTATCCAAGTAGGACCGGTCTCGGTCGTCGTGAAATGTCGTGCAATATGCCTCAGGGGTGGGTGTTAGGCCGCTCCTGTGGATTATCGACTACGACTGGGTGCTCCGCGGTGCCTTCTTAGATGATATCGCCGTCACGTGCTGAGTGGACGACAAGCTTGTGACGGCGGACCATGAGGATCCGGCGACTCGAGGTGTCTCTGCACAAATCTGAGGCCTTGTTCTTTCATGAGCCTTGGAGGGGGCCACCTGAGAGATCCAGTCACGTAGTAGGAGGCACTCGCAACGATATCAATTCCAGCATGGACATATTAGTGTTAGTGGCAAATCTCGCGAAGGACGCCCAAATTCTGCCTTCTTTGTCTACATCATCAGTGGTGACGAATCTTGGATCTATGCCTACGATCCTGATTCCAAACAAACAATCTACAATCTGGGTCTTTCAAGACGAGCCAAAGCCGACTAAAGTTGTTTGTTCAAAGAAGATGGTGGCCACGTTCGTTGGAAAAACCGGCCATGTTGCGACTATTGCACTTGAAGATCGTAGAACTGTTAACGCAGAGTGGTATAACACTCTTGGTGGCGGAATGGCGGCAAAGGCTTCTGCGCTCTACCGCCGGCCTCGCTACCGTCCAGGCGATCCGGCCAGTACTCGACGACTGGCTCGGGAGAAGGCACGGCTCCCTGTCGTTCAGGGTGACGCAGGTGCTGTCGGGGCAGGGCTGCTTCGGCAAGTACCTGTGCCGCACAGACAGGGAGCCGGACGCTCGGTGCCACCACTGCGTCCATTGCGGGGAGGACACGGCGCAACACACGCTCGCCGAGTGTGTAGCTTAGGAGGAGCAGCGCTGTGTCCTCACAAATGAAGTCGGAGGCGATCTGTCGCTGCCAGCCGTAGTGCGAAGGATGATCGGTAGCGCAGAGTCGTGGGACGCGGTGGTGTCCTTCTGCGAGGAGGTGATGTCGCCGAAGGAAACTGCTGAAACGGGAGAGGGAGATCTCGACTCCTTTCCCCGGCCGCAGAAGGCGCACCGGGCGCAGGAGAAGGGCGGACAACGCCCTTTTCCGGCCCCCATGAATGGGTCCAGGGGCGAGGGACTTGAGGAAGTCCCAACCCCCTATTTGATGGACCCGAGGCGGAGGCGCGCGCGGGTGTCGGCACGCGCTTCTGAGGCGATGCCCGGGGTAGTTAAACACCGCACTACCCCGTGCAGGAGACGAGGCCCGGACAGACCGGGCCAGCACTAGTGTGGGGCTGCGGAAGAATTTGGATTCCCGCGGCCCCGCGCGCACGTGTGAGGTGACACCGGGGTGGTTTTAGCCGGTAAGAGTCCGGCACGCCCCTCCGCCTTTCCCCAGGCGGAGGTAGTCCATGAGGATTTCCCCCCGGTAAAAAAAAAAAGAAGTGGTATAACACAGTTACCACCACGACAACACAAGCTCACACAGCGCTCGTCAAACGATTGAGTATTTGATGCAGGAAAATGTAGAAATTCTTGACCATCCTCCATACAGTCCTGACCTAAGCCCTAACGATTTCTTTACATTTCCTAAAGTTAAGAAAAGTCTTCGTGGTCAAAGGTTCCAGTCCGGTGAAGAAGCAGTCGACGCTTTCAAGTCAGCCATTTTGAACACCCCCACCACGGTACAATTATAATACAGTACTCCAACTTCATACAAACGGACGAAACGCGAGCTATACCTACGCGCCTCGATCTCGGGGTGCGCTCGGGGCGCAGACAGTCACGGCTGTACCGCAGTGTCAAACGGACGGTGTGATGTTTTTTTTAACAATAACCGCGCGATTTTTTTTTTTCTCTAAAAATCAGTTAATATGACGAGTAGGAAATATTGTGCTGTTTTTGGTTGTATGAATTCGTCAATAACGCATCCAGACATAAGGTTTTTTTAAATTACCTGGAAACTCTGAAAGTTAAAATTATAAAATAATTTTACTTACTAGTAGGTAGGTACATAATGTGTGTCTTTTTTATGGATAAGTATTTCCTTTTATCTTACGAAAAAAAGGTGTTTGGATTAATTAATAAAGCGAATAGAGTAACGGAAAGTTATTGAGAGGAGTGAAATAGGTAGTTATATGAGGTTCTGAATGAATCATGATACGGTAGGTACCTACCTACTTACGCCTGTGTTAAAACTTCGGTGCATGTGTGTTTTGTTACTTTGCATAATTCAAAGTAAAGACGTGGTATTTTATTTTTAGTAATATTTGTTTATTATCTGTGTGTATGAATAATACTAGAAATTTTTTTTACCGTCTGTGTGTCATTAAATAGTTTTCGAAATTTTCACAAAGTGTTTCTGCTGCTACTATAACAACATATACCACTAAAAACTCCTCCAATGCAGAAAGAAAATAAAATAATTAAATCTACCAATCAAAAAACAACACGCATTTTTATTGAACACTTCCTATTCAATATACAAAGTATTTAATTTATTTATATAATAAGGCTATTTACAATCACAAATCTAAATAGAAACAGAAAGTAGGCAAATATAATTAAAATGCTGGAGATGGGCAGCCCTAACGCATGTTTACGTACCGCGCGGCTGTAGGCATTTATTTCTATCATGCGGCCGAGTTACACTACTGTATTATAATAGTACCGTGCCCCCACTTTAGAGTGGAATAAATGTTTTATACATTTATAACTGGTTTGAGCGAATGGAAAAGTGTATTAAGCTACGTGGTGAATACTTTAAAAAACAATAAAAATTACCATAAGGTTCTAGTTGTTTTTTTCTTCAAACGACAAAACTTTAAAGGCATGCCTCGTAAGACCCGTTATGGAGAATTGGTTTCGAGAGGAAACACGGGACTCTCTCATACCGGCTGACTCAGGATCGCCTGTGTCTGATCCGCAAGGAACCAATGCCTGGGTTCACCAGCTTCACAAGCAAGCTGAGGCTGGCCGCGTGACGACCACCGGAGTGAGGATTCTCCAGCTTGGTACCATGATTCTGGCGTACAATAGTAGGTAATAGATAGTACGGAGCAATGGCGCGTCGAATCTCACTACCCCCTGCGAGCAAGTTATGCTCGAGAAGCTACTGCAGGTATCTCAGGCGGTGGAGGTCGCTAAATGACTTCCATCCTGCATAAGTGCAGGCGTGGGGGGGGGGGGGGGCGGGGAATCAGTCACAAAAAAAGAAGGGCTCGGACGTCTTAATAAAAGCTGTTAGCGACACCTACCCGGCGCTCGAGAGTGCGAGGGGGTGGGAGCGCCGATAAGATGCTTGCCTAGGGCGCTTTTGATTGTTAATCCGCCTGTGCCGCAGACAGATACATGCTTAACTTATAAAAAAAAAACGTAGGTGGCAATCTTATGAATGAACACTGTCGTTAAACACTGGACGTTAAATGGAACGTTTTTTATTTTGACCTTAACAAAATTTGATTAATTAAACAATTTTTTATCTAGGTCAATGCAGGCAATTAAATCAAGGCCCTCGGCCTTTGAATTTTTTTTCTAATTTATTGTGTTTGCAACAGCTGTTTCATGTTTCTGTAAAATTAGTAATTTTTATTATGCATATTATATGATGTTGGTGGGTCTAAATTAAGGCAACTCATTTTATATGTTATTCAGAGACGTTCAATCCAACCTCACACTTTTGATATATTTTATATTTTAATTTGCTAACCACTTTACTCTCTTGGCTATGAAAATTTAAACACGAAAAAAGAAAAACCCATATCTCACTGCCTTTTAACATACAAAATAAGGATGACATGTTAATGACGCTTTATTAACTTTAATTAACTCTCATCATTAAAATAAATTAGTCCTCCCCAACATGGCAAGATTGTTTAATTGAATTAATGTTACTAACGGGTTTTGTTGCAGGTATAATAAGTAAAAACAGTAAAGCGGTGGGGCTATCTAGAGTTGGTGCCACGGATCAGCGAATAGCCGTTATGACACTCGACGCAATGCAAAGATGTGATCTCGGACCTCCTCTCCACAGTTTGGTTATTCCAGGTCCTAATTTGCATCCTTTGGAACTAGACTATCTCGCGCAATTTGAGTAAGATTGTTTATGCGTCATCAATGACTGTAAATTATGTAAATATGAAATAAATTTGATGTTTAATTAATATATTTTTATTATTTACATTATAATAATTAAAAATAATGATATTAACAGAATTTGATACGACCATGAGAATTTACATTCAAACCCATAATTGGTCCTCAAAGCTACCACAAAATACATACTAATAACAAAATTATTTTCAAATATAATGTTAAAAGGTACATTAATTATTATTTGGTCTAAGTTTCACAATTATAAATAATGAAAACTATTATAATATACAATTAACGGAATGTAGATATACCAACATTATTAAAAAATAAGTCACCTATGATTGGTATACATCAAACATCGCTAGATAAAACTGGAAAATGGTGGGTCAAATTATTATAATTAATAGTTAGGAGCTTATAATATGGAATTTTACATAACACTAGCACATTTTCTTAACATAATTAAACAGTCTTTAGACTTAGTTATAAGGGGAACATACATGATTTCAATAATATATTAAGACAACTTCACATAACTCGTGCTTTCTATGTATTATGTGAGATTAAAAATTAGAGAACTATATAAATAGACATTGATTTAGAGTATTAAAAATTTTAAACAGCTGATACTTGTTGATCGTCATCATCGTCATCAGGCGTATCGTGATAATAGTCATAAGGCCGGGTAACACCTTCGTGTGAATGCGCTCGACTGAGTCGCTCCAGTCGCGCAACCTGCGCAGCGAGTGTATATGGAGCTTGCGGCATGCGCGGTGGAGGTACGGGACGTACGCAACTAGCTGTGGTGCAGGAACCATGCCCACTATCACTAGACGTGGCTGAACCAGTCTTTCTAAGTGGCAAGTTAACTAAAGATGTTACACTACTGCTTTCAGCTGATAGGTCTACTGGTAGTGGAGTTGGTGTATCTGAATGTGATCTCTCGTGTGCCGTCCGAGGACAACATATGCCTTGACCTGGACCATCACGGCGATGTGAACATGGTGATGGTCCAGGTGGTGGGGGTCTAGGCTGATGAGGTCTTGTTTTGGCGGGTTCGGATAGAGCTAATAATTTTCTCACTGCTTGAGGTGAGGCAGTACCAAATTTATTACCTGCAAAGCTCTTTTTACTCTCGCTGGCTGATGAGGCACTGCTCGTCGTTGACAGTGAGGGAGATGGGTGCCGACGGCGAGGAATGGCAGGAGCAGGTCCAGCCCCTTCACACTCTAGAGATAAAGAATGGAGGCGTTCTTCGTCAGTTTCAACATGCATTCTATTCAAATAAGCTTTTACCCTCCTAACCATTTGTGCTTCTTCAAACATCTTTTTAGGATTGGGGACATTAGAGGACTTTTTCCTTCTTTTTACAGTCACTTGACCTTGTTGCACCCCTGTTGTTAACTGATTCAAAGCCACCATAGCATTTGAAGGAGGTTGCTTACCTAACTCTAGCAGTGTTAAGAGATCATAGGGAGCACTGCACATATTTGTTAGTGTTCTAACTTCTTTTGCAATCATTCGTAATTTCTCAAAGTTAACCATTCCTTCTACTTTAGTGTCATTGCCCAAATGAATAAATGTTAGATCTTTTTTAACCACAGGGTAAAAAGGTATTACTGGAGATCTCCCTTGTTCTGTAGCAACAAGCTGTCTATATTTTGACATATTTCTTGAAGGATCCATCAGCATTTGTAAATCAGTAAACAGTTTCAAATATTTTGTGGGTAATTTTTCCCACGTCATTCTTAGCCGAGACACTGCACCATGCCCCAGGCCCGAAATTATAGCAAACATAGAGTTAAAATTCTTACACTCCTTGCAATGCCTTGCTACTTTGATAAACTGCTTTATAATTTTAGAGCGCCGCACAGGATTTTGTTCATTCACTACTTCTGTCACAACCCAAAACATTTCCTTATTAACAAGTTCAGCAAATTGTGACAGCATTGGAATGCCATACCTACTTTTTAATTCAAACAAGTCATCAACATATTCAGTACTTTCTATTTGTCGGAAAATACAAAAATCTTGCAAAGTAAGTTGCACTGCAACCTCAACTGCATTTAGCTGCAGGAAATGAACAACACTTTCTCTAAGAAGTTCAGGCGCCATCTCATCAGGTACTAAAGTTTCAGTAATACCATTAGTCTTAAGATAATATCTGGAACTGAGACCAATACGCTCAGCTAAGTTTTGTAACTGGTCTGGTAAGCGATGCTGTTTAATAATGCCACCCTGGGCAACAGATACTTCACATAGTGAGAAGTTTGAACTGGGATCAGTGATGCCAAACTCCTGTAAAGTAAGCATCACTACTTCTCTTGCTGTTGTTTCTTTGTGTACTAATAAATATTTGCAAGTTTGATCAGATTTATATACTTTTAGTACATGTTCTGGATAATCAGAAGATTGATAGTCATCATAACAAATTGATATCAAGTCTGGATTACTATGTGAATTATAAAATGAAGTACTGGCATTAGCTTTATTTAAATATTCTGAGTTTGAAAGAATACTGTCATCAGTTGGTAAACCATCAGTTATGGTATTTTTAGGTAATAGATTCATTTTAATTAAACCTTTTATTAACTTTCTTTTGGGCCCAAGGGTCATGAAACCCTTTTGTGGCTCCTTTTTAATTAATTGCGGTTTTTTTGTAGGCGACGGAAAGACTGGTGTTAATGTAATGGGATCATCATTAAGTTTCAATTCTGCAGTCGAGAGTCTAGCTCTAGGATCTGCTTGCCAATTAATGCTTCTCTGTCTAGGAGAATTTTCTGGCATCAACAACATCTGCTTAAACGTTAATAAATTACTTTTTACTGTGATGCTTAAGTGTGTTGATCCTGTAATTATTTCCATTGCCTTTGCATGACTTACATGCTGGAAAGACTGGCCATTAACTTCTAAAACCTGATCCCCCCTTTTTAGTCCCACATCTTCTGCTTTTGAATGTTTTTCAACTTTAAATATAAATATTCCATATCCCCTCTCATATCCACCTAATATTGTAAAGTTTAAAGGTTCATCCCTTGTTGGGCGAGATAAAGTTACACTTCTTGTTCGTGCTTTGGCAGAACAAGCTATATTTAGCAGCCTCAATTGACTTTCCATCTTTTCACAATCTAGAGCTAATTCAAAGTTTTCAAGAAATTCCATCATATTTGAATCTGTTTCAAAATCAGTGAAATGGTTGTTCACCCATAGCAACACCACTCTGGTGACTTTATCACGAACTGAAGGTTCAGAGAACCAGGCAAGTAGTTGTTTTGCAACAACCAAAGGGCCTTCAATGAAGGTCCTGTGGGTTAAAAGAAAGTCTTCAACATATGTTGAATCACGGGTATTGTCTTCCACAAGTTGTAACATTAGCTGTTCAGGAGTGCCTCTAATAACAACATGTCCTTGCTGGCGCCCTGATTCACCAGCAGTTCCTCTATATTCAGTAACCAGCACAACAACACCATTTTCATTTTCATGCCTTCTAATATTTTCTTCTCCTTGATGCAATATTCTATAATAGTCAGTTTGTGTTATACATACAAACTGACAGTCATCACATTTTGTTGTCATTACACCTCTGTGATATAATTTTTCAAGTGTAGCTTCAGCCATACCAAAACTATCACCTACATTCAGATGTTCCACTTCACTATTTTGATGTTCAATACTTACATGCCCATTAATAAGAACAGACCAAGAGTCATGCTCTTCTCCATCATTCATAACCACAGTGCCAGCTTTTTCAACTACTGCAAAGACCATTACTGCACACAATGCTCTACGCACTGTCAAGGTCATATTAGTAAATGCTTTCAAATGTTGTGTAAATTCCAATAGTATTTCAATATCATCATCTGTTCTTTCACTTGGGTCTTTTTCAAGACATTCCCGAACAGCATCACGGACTGTGAGGCTGTCCATACTTTCTTCTAAATCTTCTTCCTCATCAGAGTCTACAATAGACTCTAGGAGACCAGATAAATCAACCTCCATATCCATGTCCAGAGAGCTATGTACCGACGTCATTGTGTCACTGCCGCTGTATGCAGAACTGGTGTCACTAGCGTTGGAGCACTTCAATGTGTGGGGGTACAGCTCTGGACTGTGACGGCCTCCACGGCCACCTCTCAACATCGTGAAGTTTCTAACAGGCCAACTGACGTCCAGCTTCTGAAATTTTATATAAAAATATATGACACGAAAATCAATACCTACAGCACCTCAATCAGGAATTTCTTAGTACCTATATAATGAGTACTTAATTAAGTCAAATATAATCAAACATATTATTGAAAGATGAAAGAACTGAGGATTTGATGTCTACCGTAAAATCGACAGCTACTAAGAATTGCGGGAGACTTTCTTTCTACCTGTATGTATTTGTAATCAAAAATGTAAGCTGCAATAGGAAATATGAAGTTGCATCACAGTTTGTTATTTTATGGGATAAAACAATAGAGCAACGTATGTAAAACAATAAATAAATATATGTTTCAAACCTTCACAATTTCTATTTATTTTGCATTCATGGCGGAACTGTCAGCGCTTCCATGTTGCTTTCTAAATTAATTACCGTTCTCCATCGACTCAAAGGGAATATACTTTTATATGCACTTCACAATAAACGTTGTCACAAATTATTTACAGTACATAAACCGATATTCAATTGAACCAGAATATACAAACGGCGTCTAATAATCGCGGAAAATCTTTAGAAAGCTACTTTCCTAAGCTGAATAATATAACCATAAAGAAAATAGATAAAGATCGTTGTCATAGCCCATAATGTTCCTTGGTAAAATAATAATATTTTAAAATGGTAACATTAACATTGAACACTCGGTTGTTTGTTAAGGTAATTTATTTGAAAGTTTTTAAATAACAGGTTAAGTTTCTTATTCTTATATTCGAGCCGAAATTGGCAAGACTAAAATATGTTACTTGGTACTTCAGTATAAGTATAATATATTTATTTATATATATATAGTAAGTTTAGATTAGTCTCTTCGGTTCACAAAACATTAAACGTACATTTTTTACCTGATATTACTTTATCAAATTTGTAAACGAATATAAATGAACATGAAAAAATATATGACAAAAACCATTGAAACTAGTCTTTCTTAGCCTCTGTAACTATTTGATCTATTTTTATTTACCTAATATTAAATTTGTATATTATCTGTGCTGTGGCTGCGTTATACAAACGGAACACGTACGAACTTTTTCGTACATATTATATTTTTCTACATTTACATGCATTTATTATTCTTTGTGATTCATTTTTTATTCACGATTATTTATTTTATGCTTATTTTTTCTAATTTATAGATGCCTACAACGGTGTAAAAGAATTAAAAGTGTTGTGATTGGCGAAATGAACATTTCTATCTCCATCTATTTTCAGATGTAGGTACTTTTGTATGAGTGTAGCGTTTTCGCAGCAAACCAGTGATGTTAATCTTTTAGTTACAAATTTTGTAAATTGATCGTTTCACGTAGTGATAAAAGTCGCATATACTTTTGATTGGTCTTGTGAAAGTGCAACAACCAAAAATAATCTTGTGTATAGCATTAAAATGCGTCCAGTTTTAGAGTCGAAACGAATGGTGAGCGATGGCGAGAATACGGTGATAGATTTTTGGTGTTAAATTTTGCTCCGTGTCATCACCGCTATAGTTTCCGATTACGTCTAGGACAGACGACAACCGTTTTAAAACTCTGTTTTACGTGTTATTATACGCAAATCATTAAAAATCTGTCGCGATTATTGTTAGAAAATAAATTGTCATTGACTCTGACCGGCTGATATTACACGAGGCTTGTATGTATATGCGACTTCTGCCTTCTGCTATTCGTGACACGCCTCAGAAAATAAATCTAAATTTGTGAACCGAATTATTCTTTTCTGTATTTGTGTCATTTTAGTGATAGAGACGGTTTTAAATTACGTAACTGTTGTGGAATCTTGAAGTGTATAAAGAATGGCCTGAGTGTGACCACTCCATTACCGTCATGTGTGACGAAGGAATGTTTGTTTAGGCTCTAATATTGTGCATCTTACGGATAGTGCGCGTTCAACTCGTGGACTGGGCCAGATCATGACTCTGCTTGAAACAAAACAGTTTTCGCATTGATCGCCGTCTACCTATCGTCATTTGGGACACTTTTATATTACCAAAATGTCTTCGGGAACTTTTGTGGACAGAATTGACCCCTTCGCTAAGCGGTCGCTGAAGAAAAAGACCAAGAAATCTCAGGGTTCTTCTCGATACCGCAACACGCAAGATGTTGAACTGCAGGCACTGCCCTTGCTTAAAGGTGGGTCCATCTAATTTTAATCTTCAACTTAATTCTTCTCTTCCTTTTTAATACGTCATAAATATAAAAAAATAATTGAATTGTATTGTTATCAGTACAGATTTTATTATACTTTTAAGTTCATTGAACTTTTGCCCAGATTTTAAATGATATTTTGTAAATAGGTTAGGATTAGAAAATTGTTTACATTTTGTTCAAAACATTAAGAATTTTCTTAATAAATAATGTTTGAAAGTAGAATTTCTTACCACAAAGTTAGTACACATTGAAAAAATATACTGCGTGTAATGAGTTATGGGATGTAGTCATATATATATATATATATGTTATTTTATGTACAATATGGAAATTTGGTGTAAGTATGTAGGTCTACAAAGCCATACCTATAAAATTATCAGTCTATTAACTGTTTACATGACTTAGATCTTCTAGTTTAGGAGATACCTAGGTAAACAAGTTGCAAGTAATAGAATGAAATCATGTACTATGTATATATAATTTCAAACACTTGTACTGTATCAACTATTTTTTTTTCATAATAATCATATTAATGCTTTATAGAATAAGACTGCTATTGAATATATTGTTACAATGAAAATCTTAGTTAATGAGATAACATGTACCATTAGCTTAAGTTTTTCAATAGAAGTTTTGCTACAATGCTATTTTGTAAATGGTACAATAATATTGTAAATGAATGTGTTACCATATTCATGTTGACCTGTAATGCACATGAATACTGTTAGCCTGTTTTATTTCTAAATATATGAAGAGGGAATTATTTATTTGTAAATAAAAAGAGTTGAAATTTAAAATTATTAGTAATTTGTGGCTTAAAGGATCTAATGACAGTTTATAAACTTATGGTTAAAGCTTATCAGAAATAAAATATAATTAGATTAGAATGCATAGTTTGTTTAATGTATTATTAATGCTTAGATATAAAAATATTACATACCTTTTGCAATCATCAACAGTGCATAAATGTGTGAAACTTAAATATTATCTAATGTTGAGTGGTACTTTTCATTTAGTATAGGTGTAAGTATATACATGTTGTGTGCTCATAGCCCAATAAATTTGGTCATGATAATGGATAATTGCCTACTATATACCTATATCAATTTATCAGTAAAGTATCTGTGATTGTTGAAAGGTTGAATGGATTCCAATCTGATTTCGATCTAACTGACTTGTACTATTTTTTCTAGTAAATTCAAATATGAGTATGCCTTGAAATAAAATTAACTTTTTCCAGATGTTCCAAGTAGTGAACAGGAAGAGCTATTTATTCGCAAGTTGCGACAGTGCTGTGTAGCGTTTGACTTCATGGACCCTGTTGCTGATTTGAAGGGAAAAGAGATAAAGCGTGCCACTCTCAATGAGCTTGTTGAATACATCACCGGAGGTCGTGGAGTGCTCACTGAACCTGTGTATCCAGAGATTATTAAGATGGTATGAATTTTCTTCTGATTAAAGAAATAGATTGCATTGCATATATAGTAACGGTTTCTATTAACAATGTTTGATATACATTTCTACAAATATTCAGTTTTTTAATTAAAATTTCCCTGTAACCATGCTTTTCAACAAAGTAAAATAAAATGTTATATTAGACTAGCTTTTGTCCGCGGCTCCGCCCGCGTGTGTGCCTCAAGTAGTCTCTGTAACTCAGTGATAATGTATCTGTCCATTGTTGGTTTTTAAATTGTTTTAGTGATTAAGGCGAAACAAAGAAACTAATTTTATAATACTTAGATTTATAATATAAGTATGGAAGTATCATATAGGGTTTGTTTCAAGTTTTCCTTCTCTTTGCAGTGCTGTTGTCTTGCGTAGGTTTCCCGCTTAGTCGACTTTTACTACACCCCCGGGATGAATAGGGGTGGTGACATTACATATTCTTAATCCGTTACCATACGGATGAAGTATGGATGTTATTAATAGGGACCATTAATATGTACTAAACTCAAAAGTTATTAATGAAACATTCTTAAACCTAAGCAGTAATTTGTATATAAACATTTTCCTCAAAAGAAGAAGAATTTATGCTATAAACTAAAAGACATCCATAAGAGCAAGTAATAAATAGTTTTGTATGAAAAATATATTGTTATCCATTTGTGTACAAGTGAACAATTATAAATAAATTTAGTGTGTAGTAAATCACTAGTGAATATAAAAGAGATATATATATATATATATATACCGAAACAGATATTACATACATAAAATGCACAATGCAATACATATAAATTGATACAAGATGTATAACAATTAGAGTACATATAGAACTTCAATCTATTATGTAGGTCAATTGGAAGTTTTTGGTGTCTGCATTTATCATAGAGTAGTATAATTTGTGTATTAGTTTGGGAGTTAACACAATCAATCAATAGATAATTAAGCCTTTAGTTAGTTAACCTTTCAATTGCTTGTTGTTTTCAACAAGTTCCACTGACAGTGGTGTGCATTTTTTATTTCCTAGTGTTTGATGTATGTGGAGCATTACCTAATTATACCTATGTCCAGCAGTGGAATTTGATGTTTCTGTACCCCAAAATGGGTGCTCTGATTACTAAGCTAATTAGCCTAATGCTCATAGAGAGACGAGAGCTACACCACACAGGTGGAAGTTCTCTCAGAAAATTAAAACCCAAACAACTAGAAGTTGGTCAACAACATATTGGCATTGTGCAGAAAATAACAAAAAATAAATGTTGCTAAGTAGAACTCCAATATAATTAGCACTTGACACTTGTGCTGTTCTCCCCTTCCTATGCTTGTAAAATAAGTTTCAGTAGAGAAGTTACAAGAAAGATTATACCAATTTTCTGGATTCTCTGGAGCTTAAATGAGTTCAGAAAACTTATTGTGCATAAATTCTTGAATAAATAGCACTAATTCGCACTACAGTGCAACAAATTTTTAACTCGTAATTTGCACTTCGTCCGTGTCCGCGATTTGCGATTGTAAGTAATACTACAACAATATATTAGTATCGTATTATCTTACGTGAGCATGAAGTGTCCACTGGTTTTCTGGTTTCGTTACTGCAGCAGTGGTCGCAGTTCGGTCCACCGCACGGCACAAAGCAAATATACCTCAAAAGGAAAAAATATATATACATACGAGGGGTGATCATAATAATTGATAATCAATATGAAACAGAACTATTAGATTAAAAAAAGCATTTTATTTTTCAACATAGTCTCCTTGCAAGTTAATACATTTAGTGTATCTTTTTTCTAAGCCTATGATTCCCTTAGAAAAAAATTCTTGTCTTGGACCCTCCCAAAATGCTCTACTGCGGCCATCACTTCACTATTGTCCTCAAATTTGTTGCCCCGGAGGTGTTCTTTGAGCCGAGGAAAGAGGTAGAAGTCACTGGGAGCTAGAATCTGGCGAATAGGGAGGGTGTTCGAGCAGTTCGAACCCCGTTTCTTCAATGGCAGCCATCGCAACTGCGACTTTGTGAGCCGGGGCGTTGTCTTGGTGAAACAGCACTCCAGCGCGCAGTTTACCGCGTCTTTTTGACTTAATAGCTTCTCGCAATCTTATTTGGCCTGCGTAGTAAGAGCCTGTTATAGTGGCCCCCTTTTCCAAATATTCCACCATAATAATTCCTTCTGCATCCCAGAAAACAGACTCCATAACCTTTCCCGCTGAACTTGACACTTTGAATTTCTTCGGCGTTGGTGAGGAAGCTCGTTTCCAAGTCATTGATTATTGTTTGGTTTCGGGATCAAAGTGGTGGATCCAGGTCTCGTCCATGGTCACAAAACGCGACAAAAAAAATCTTTATCGGCCTGGAACTTTTGAAGATTCACCCTCGAAATGTCGACTCGTTTCTTTTTTTTGCTCGTTGGTTAACGTTCTCGGTACCCAACGCGCAGAGACCTTTTTCATATGCATTTTGTTGACCATGATTTTTTGGAAACGCTGCCATAGGAGATCCCTGTGACCTCAGCTACATGCCTTACGGTCACCCTTCGATCGGCCAACACGATATCTTCCACTTTTTTGACGTTTTCTCCAGTAAGGGGACGTGGAAGGGCGTCCCTCGCGATGTTCATCTTCAGTGGAGGTTCTGCCCAGCTTAAATTCCTTTGCCCAGCGTGCGACTGTGGAATATGGAGGAGCAGACTCCCCCAATGTTTCCTCTAAGTCGCTGTGTATGTCTTTGTTAGACATTTTTTCAGGCAGAGGTACTTGATGACAGCTCTTATTTCATTTTTCTCCATTTTGATGTTTTTCTCTTCGACAGTTCGTATTCAAATGAATGTATCTCCGGTAATGGTGTCCTATTTATACATTTTTTTGAAGCTGAAGTAGTGGATATATAAGCAAGCAGAATATATAGGATCGGTATCGGAGGTATCAAGTTGTGAAATTAAAACTATATACTCAGTTCTACAGTCTCTTATGCTGTAAAAAAATCAAACTTCTAAGTTAATGTGAAAAATAACTTCCCGTTGAGCTAGAACTATAAAATTTGGCAAGTAACAACTTATACTACAAGTGCAAGGAAAAATCTGAAATCTATACATATGTAATTAAATCATAAAAAATTTAGTCTTTATTTAAAGGACATTCAATCACCGAGGTACAATTTCACTTAGAAAACAAAAATAAAAGTTATTATAGGTTTTGGAAAATGAATATCGGCAAAGGCTCGAAAAAAAACTGCGAGACTCGATTCCTGAACTATCTATAATATGTACCTACAAGTTTGTACAGAACCTTCGGTGGGCGAGTCTGAATGGCACTTGTCCGGATGTTTTTGTTATCTATGACACACATATAAGAAACAAGAGAGTTTAGAGGCGTTCCTAAAAATGAAAAGGTTTGAGAATTTGTATTCTAATAGGACCGTTTTTATAGATTTAGAGTTGTAATCAAGAAACATTTTTATTTCTTGGCATAGTACACGTAAGCTGATTAATTTCGTCGTTGCTTTATAAATAAAAAATATAATAATGACGTTTCTCATTATCCATTTTAAACTACTGGAACTGAAACATAAATAAAGTTAGCCAAGGTAAAACCTTCTTTTGATATACCTTTACTATAATGTCTGAAATATAAAAAATATTTATAAAATATCACATGAGGCAAACATTGTACTTTAAATTGAGCTGCTTACAATATGACACTAACAATGTTGCTATTCTGAGGTGTTAATTTTCTTCTAAGCTATAAATAGCATATTTTCTTAGCAGAAAAATGACAGATTATCATTAATAGTATTTCTAAAGTAGTATGGTTGTTCCCTTGAAATTGTCTTATTTGGGCTCACTTTTAAGTTTTAGAGTTACACTTGTCATCTGACCCTGAAAATACAAAGATAGTAATATAACACAGTGCCTGACCTTGAGTCAATTATTACTTCTTTCTTCTCCATAAAATATGTTTGAATTCTAGAATTAGGTGATGAACTTTATATATATAATAAAATAATAATTAACTGTATTTAAAACTATCCTATTTAAACATGATATGGCATCTCATAGTTCTTTTCTAATATTTTTTCAAATTAAATCAATTAAATCAAAACATTTCATACTTATTGGAATGTGCAAGAAGCATTTCCACAAATAGTCACAATTATTTATAAATAATAATAATGAACTACCAGGAAAGTAGTTTTCAATATTTGTATTTGACTAATGTCTATCAATACTCAATGTCTATCAAATACTACTAAGTATACTATAGAGTTGTAAGAAATATTATTCTTTACAGATAATATGATTTGATCCTCTCATCTACTGTGATTTTTCTCTTAATGTAATATTTTACAACTTTAAATATTCAATCAAGTAAGAGCCCATGCTAATCAAATAATTTGTATGTAAAAATTCTCTAAACATACAACTAAAAATATAATTATCCAAAAAAAATATGCATAGTTTGCCCATATTTATATACTAACTCGCTTATTCTCGTGGCTCCGCCCGCGTAAATGTCAGTTATCGCGGTAAAAGTTAGCCTATGTCTTTCCCTAATACTCAAAGTATCTTCATACCAAAGTTCATGTAAATCGGTTCAGCAGTCTAGCGTGAAGAGGTAACAGAAAGACACACTTTCGCATATTAGTATGGATATTATAAAGCTGAAAAGACTTGATTGTTTGTTTGAACACAATAAGCTCAGGCACTACTGGTTCTAATTGAACTTTAGTGTTGGATAGCCCATTTGTAAAATCATCACTACCAAAAATTGTGCAAAATTAAGCAAAATGGAAAATTGGTTCGACATTACTAATGTCACAAGTTTGTAGGATATGATATCCGGTACTGTTAGTTGCCAAAAATAAGTTTTTCAGATTTACCTTTAGCTGAAACTATTTAAAGGCTACTGCTAATTTCGAGGGAATTGGATAATAAGGCCTGTAGTTACTATCTGATCTCCATTTTAATCAATATGCAAGCTGTCAAATTCTTCAAGTGGTATAAAAATCTCAAGGATTTTATTCTAAATTTCTAGTGCCTGTATGGTGGCTATTTGTATATTTTTAATGGTGTATCGTTAAAACACTTGACATGTTGATGCTCAAATCTAACTGAACTGTTATCACCCTTTCAGCAGTGGAGACATTGCAGTGGTTTAGGTTGCCTATTATTAACGGTACTAGGTGCAATTGTACTGGTATGGAAATGTTATCAGGGTTTGTGTTACTAATGCTACAAGTTAATGTTACAAGGGTCATTAGTCATAGTCATTACACATGTGACATATTTTGACAACTTGGTGACAGACAATACATGACAATAAATTTGAACTACTCTTCTTTAAACTGTTATAGATACATGAAGTCTAGTGATTAGTTTTGATTAACACAGGTTAATTACTAACCATGCTTCTTTACCAGCAATTCTTAGGTGATTAGTTCAAGTCTGCCTACTATCACTGCGAAGGCTGCCCCTCTGTGTACCAGTTTCTCCTATGAAGTTACAGTTTTATTCACATCGTTTTTCATGCAATCATTTTATATGGATTACTTCCAAAGCTTTTTCGTTGACTTATTAGCTTTGACAGTCATCATAAGAGACTATGAAAACCTCTGGAAAAACTGAAAAAACTGTTGAAAACCTCTGGCAGTATATCTGAACATTGCTTCGTAACATGAGTAATTCAGAAAGTGCTATTATTGCACACATGTTAGAAAATAGTTTATAAATGATTTTAATGGGATGCAATTCTTAATTGTCTCAAAGCAATGTTTTTGTTCTTTCTTAGATATCCGCCAACTTATTCCGCACTCTACCGCCAAGTGAAAATCCCGATTTTGATCCTGAAGAAGATGACCCGACCCTGGAGGCTTCGTGGCCGCATCTTCAACTAGTCTACGAATTCTTCCTGCGCTTCCTGGAGTCAACTGACTTTCAGCCTACTATTGGCAAAAAGGTCATTGACCAAAAATTTGTACTACAGGTAAATGTTACATACATTTCCATTTATATATATAGTATATAGTTTAGTAGTATTAGTTTAGTATATATAGTTTAGTATACTAATAAATCTTATATATAAAATTCTCGTGTCACAATGTTCGTTCCCCGTACTCCTCCGAAACGGCTTGACCGATTCTCATGAAATTTTGTGTGCACATCGGGTAGGACTGAGAATCGGCCAACATCTATTTTTCATACCCCTAAATGGTAAGGGTGACCCATCCCTATTTTTTTTTTGTTTTGCAATACAACGTTTGCCGGGTCAGCTAGTAATATATAATAAATATGACTTGGCGATAGTCACGTTTTTAATGGTACAGTTGTAGGTAATCTACAACTTGTGATTCTAAATTAACCGCATTAAGACAGTTCGTACAATATGCTCCCTCTCTGAGTATTAGACATGCATCACAAACCTAATAAGTGATCATATTAAGATATAAGTTTTCAGTAGTTAAGATGTAGTCATTGAAATGTAGATAATTATGTCTGTGTAGTATGTAGATAAATGTGTCTTATTCACTATCTAGAAACATGCTTATACTCATAGATAAATCGAAATTGATAACGAGTACAAATTCTATTCCTATTTATCAAAAATAAAAAGGAATTATAAAGGAATATTATGTGTTTTTCTGCATTTCTCTAATACCAAATTAAACAGGCGAATGTGACAATTCCAAGTCGTCTTGCACTGGAAAAGTGCCTATAAGCTTTTTTTAAGTCAAGTGATTTTTTTCCTGAAGCTAAAGAACTTACTGTAATGTTGGGGTATTATTATGTAGGTATGCCTATTTTAAAATGTAATCTCGTATCATATTTCTAAATGACATATATTTCAACAGATTTGCAGAATCTAATTAATATATGTACTGCTTTTTTATGTATTTTAAATATAGTTTGTTGGAACTACATATCTTAATATGTAGCTTAAATACTGATATATAAGAATATATTCCAAAACTTTTTTGTCTATGTTGTCTTGCCTTTAGAGGTCTTTAGAGGATCAAGGTGGAATTCTAAAAAATACTTGTTTGACTTTATGCGAATTTTCAAATGCGTTCCAAACATATTTTTTTCTGGAGCCTTGGTCAACGAATAAATCAAATATGGGCTAGCTGAGCTAATACAAGAAAACTTATATTTCTCGTCTGTTCGAAAGCGATGAAAAAAACTATATTCTTGACCTTACAGGTAAGGCAATCTTGCAGACATTCTATACATCAAAATAGCTCGGCGTGGCGGGCACGCTTGAAATAATAATCTTGGTATTTTTTAGTGATAATTGTAATAAATTTTAAACTCTTACTTTGTGTGGGTATACAACAATTCCATGATTAATAGTCAGCATCTAAAATTCTAAATTGCCCTTGATATGTTTACGATTATCTGATGATAAGTAATTTTAAGTATAATTACTGTTTTTAAATTTCTGAGAAAATGTTTAACAAAAACGCAATCATTTAGATCAAGAAAGTAGTAGGTATATAATAAAGCCATAAAGCGATATTTATGTTCTGGAAGAGTGAATCTCACAGAATACTATCAACGGAATACTATCACCTCAGCCATAGAATGCCCACTGCTAAACAAAAAGTACAAGAATTATATTTTTTATTGAAATCAGGTGTATCTTAATTAATCCGTGATAGGAGTGTTTGGGAAAAAAACTGCTTTTCCCCAAAAGCGAAACTAATATGTTTAGGAACTATACATAGTGTAAAATATTAGTACCCATACATAACTACTGTGTCCCAAAAGTACCCAGCAATTGTAAATAAAACACAAGGGGTAATTTTCATTATCCAAATTATTTTGTCCCCTTCAAATTAACTTCCATTAGAGGCAATACACTTACGCCAGCGCTTGAACCAGTCCTCGAAACACTTTTCTTACGCCGAAATCAGGATGGCTTTCAGCACCTTCGTCGTATTTTCTTTCACCGCCTCAATGGTCTCGAAACGCTTTCTGCGAAGCGGCAATTTAAGTTTAGGAAAGAGAAAATAGTAACATGGTGCCATATCTGGTGAATAGGGTGCTTACCTGCCAAGAAGCTACGAATAATCTGACTGTGTTAGGTGGCGCATTATCGTGAAGCAAAATCCATGTCTTTTCCACCCACAAATCTGGCCGTTTGGAACGAATAGCATCACGCAAATGCCTCACGACTTCGAGATAATAGTCTTTGTTGACCGTCATGCCCGTTGGGAGGAACGAACCCTACCCCGATAATCAAAGAAAACAGTCAAGAGTACCTTGATTTTTAATTGGTTTGACGCGGTCGTTTTGATGAGCCACTGCCATTCCATCGCCACTGTAAAGACACTGAGTTAGTGTAGACTACCGATATTTATACCGATGCCAATGGCCACTCGATGGCATCTCAATAGCGTGTCAGTGGTATGACAGTGGCTTGGCGTGAACATAAAATAGCAGAATTGAGGCCCCATTCGGATGCTTGTTGCTCTGTTTGCATGTTGTACTCGTAGACCCATGTCACATCACTAGTTATGATGCTTTTTATAAATGTGGAATCGTTTCGTGCTTCAGAAAGCATCTCATTAGCAACATCCATTCTGCGCTGTTTTTAAATGAAATTTAGATCTTTAGGCACGAGTTTAGCAGAGACGCGAGTTACTACGCGACTATTTGCGAACGCCTTTTGTAATATTTCAAGCGTTTCAGCACAAGAAATTTCGTTTGCAACACAGAATTTAATATAAGATCGTTGCTCAACAAAATCGGCCATAGTAAAAAACGACGTCACCACAAAAGTTGTTTGTCACAAATGTTATAGTTAAACCGCCGTAAGCTTGGCCCTCGTGATGGTTTGGGGGACGCGGGGCGGGGGTGCATTCAACCAATTAGCTAGTGCGTCGCTGTCCGCCGGCAGTGACTGACGTGAAAGCATGGCTGTACGTGTTATTTTTCTTAAGACTGCTACACACGGTATTATTTTGCAACATGGATAATCTGCCGACTCTGCGTCACAAAAAGATTTAAAAAGTTGAAGTTCGGCTTACAGAGGTTCTACTGTTAAAGTTCTAATAAAGAATATTTATTATTTTACTTTATTTTTAAATTGTATCTGAATATAATTTACATGACGAAGATAAGGTGATTTTATTAAAATTATTTTACAGTATTAAATTTTACAATTAATCATAAAAACTTACAATACACTATAATTACATTACATTATAATACATGGAAATAAATTCAATTTTTATTACATCGTGTGTAGATTAAATCTCAAACAAATAAATCTGAAGATATCGAGTTAGTACATCGGGTCATGTATAGCCGAGCGCATCACCCGCCCCGCGTCCCGCAAACCATCAGGAGGGCCAAGCTTACGGCGGTTTAACTATAGTTAGTCACAAAATTCTCGATAGAGGTTAGGTTATTTTTTACCGCCAACCAATGACAGTGGTAGCAACCTAACGCAAAAAGATTTTTTTAAATATCTCCAGCACGGGATTTTGAAATGAGAATTTCCGGGTACTTTAGGGACTAAATGTATATCGGGTAAACCGTATCATGATGATGATACAGTACATCCGTTAATTTCTAAATAGATATTGTACAAAATATTTATTTAAAATTAACTGAAGGTTTAAGTTAAATTACTGCAAATTGTAGTTCTAAAAGACTTCTAAGAAAAAAGATTAATACACATTCGTTATTTATTTCACAATTTATTGTTTTACCATATGATAAATAAAATATTATCATTTGATTTCAAGCTTTTAGATTTGTTCGATTCTGAGGACCCACGAGAACGTGACTTCTTAAAAACGGTGCTTCATCGCATCTACGGCAAGTTCTTGGGACTACGAGCTTTTATACGAAAGCAGATTAATAACATATTTCTACGATTTGTTTATGAAACAGAGCATTTTAACGGTGTTGGCGAACTGCTGGAAATATTGGGCAGGTTAGCAAGCATTTTCTGCAAATTCGATATTTCGCAGATGATTGTTGCTAAACATACATTGATTCATATTAATTAATTTTTCAGTATAATCAACGGGTTTGCACTTCCACTAAAAAGTGAGCACAAACAATTTCTGGTAAAGGTGCTACTACCGCTGCATAAGGTGAAGTGCTTGTCGCTATACCATGCGCAGCTTGCTTACTGCGTAGTTCAGTTCCTTGAAAAGGATGCCACCCTCACAGAACATGTTGTTCGTGGCCTACTCAAATTTTGGCCCAAAACATGCTCGCAAAAAGAGGTTTGTTACGTATTGTTTAATTCAGAGATTTAAAACATTAAAATAGGTATTACTTATGTATATTTATTGTATGTAAATATAAGAAGAGTATTATTTCTTTTCAAGGTTATGTTTTTGGGCGAAATTGAGGAGATATTGGACGTAATTGAACCAGCTCAATTCGTCAAAATACAGGAACCGTTGTTCAGGCAAATAGCTAAATGTGTATCCAGTCCACATTTTCAAGTAAGTTGCTTGTTTTAACTTCCGAACTACTTAAGTCTGGTATATTTACAGGTTGTAAGGGACGGTGTAACGAATACTGAAATAGTCTATTCAGACCATCATTTCAATTGAAAATCATTGGCATTTTCTGCCGGAAAATTCATCTTTTTTTAAATATCTCAACGAGTTAATAGAATATTTACCCAAAAAAATATAAATACCGCAAACAGTCAAAATCTGCAATGTAATTAATTCATTAAACAGCCGAAGCACGCGCCTAGGAACCCCCTCTCCCCCCACCCCTGCCGCTAAATTGTGTTAGTGTGCGTAGACTGTTTGCACGGAATACAAATGTAGTTATTACTTTTATGAGACACCTACTGCGAAGGACCTTAACGTTTGACAGCTGATTTGACGTTTAATTTTCCGGCAGAAAATTCCAATGATTATCGACTTAAAACACTTTTTCAATATTTATTACACCGTCCCTTACACCCTGTATGTTTTAGGGCTGTGATTACTTTATTTTATCTAGTGTGAAGCGTTTTGTAATGTAAAAATATGCTATTTTATATTTTATTATTTTTTATATATTTTATATAATTTACTATCATTCACTTTGTTTGAGTCTTCAATGCTAGAAACGCCTCAGTGTTCTGTGCTCCTCTAGTTAAGTAAATAAGCACCCTGAAATGAATTATCTGTACCCGGCGTGCGTTGCAATGCCACGTTAAGTTGTATAAAGAAATAACGCAAAAAATTAATCAGTTTTAAATAGTTTTTTTTTGACCAGGAATCCTCACAGGCATCCCTAAAATATCCTACCAAAGTTTCATCACAATCTGATGAATGGTTTCGGATCGCATAGAGGACAAACAATGGTTTTAATATATATAGATAGATTATGATACTGAAACTAATCCATAACTTCACTCAAAGTCAATACAAATTACATATAAATTTAAAACCTCTAAAATTGGAATTTTGTAATGTTGACACATTTGACATTAATTGAAAGAAATAATAATAACTTCACACATCTTACATACGGCCGTCTGTTCCCAAATGAAGCAGAAGCTGTGCTATAATAACCAGACTGCTGATAAACATACTTTTATATTTATAAACGAGCCGACCCGCGCAACTTCGTCTGCGTGTCTTAAAATTTTCTCCGCTTTTGCAATATTTTTCATTAATGCTCGGCACTTTTTAGGCGTAGCATGATATATAGTGTAAATCCTTCCGCGATAAATAGGTTATCCAAGTCTAAAAGAATTTATCAATTCGAACCAGTCGTACCTGAGATTAGCACGTTCAATCAAACCCTTCACCTTCACCATAGTATGTATTATAGTATAGATACATAAATATTATGGAAAAACTACACCCAGACACAACAAATGTTCGTGCTCATCACACAATTATATTCCTGGGTGGAAATTGAACCGTTAGGGTAACAGGCCTGTCAGGGTAACAGGCCCGTCAGGGTAACAGGCCCGTCTAAGCTCATCTTGAGTTTTAGAATATTCAAGCCTACTTACTTTATAAGTAAAATTCACATGTAAAATATTCACCAAAAATAATTTGCAGGTGGCTGAAAGAGCACTTTACTTTTGGAACAACGAATATATAATGTCACTGATGGAAGAAAATAATCACGTGATAATGCCTATAATGTTCCCTGCATTGTATCGAATCAGCAAGGAGCACTGGAATCAAACTATAGTGGCACTCGTCTACAACGTGCTAAAGACGTTCATGGAGATGAATTCCAAACTCTTCGACGAGCTCACCGCTAGCTATAAGGCGGAAAGGCAGAAGTGAGTACAGTAGTTTAGGTTAGATGTGTGGTATTAGAAGTTGCGCAGTGAGTGACAGTGACGCCTGTTCGTTGCAGAGAGAAGAAGCGCGAGAAGGAGCGCGACGAGCTGTGGAAGCGGCTGGGCGAGCTGGAGATCAGCCACAAGCGGCAGGCCGTGGGCGCGCCGGCGCTCGCCAAGTGATGCCGCTCTCGACAACCTCCATCCACGACCTAGAATAATGCGATTGAATTTGTTTTCAGCTATGTATTGATATTTTCTATTCGATTACATTTTTGTTAATGACGTTATTAATTTTTAATACCTCCGACGGTCGGTCGTCCGGATAAACGGTTGCGCCGTGTCTCGTGGATTCGGTTCGCTCTCGGCCCCGCCTTGCGGCTCGGCTCGCGTTCGGTGTCACTACAAATTACTAATAGTGCTAAATGTTAATATGTCCGCACCCCCTACGCGATACTGTCATAATGATTATTACTATTTTATATACGTTTACATAGGTCTCTAGTTTACTTTAGGATTTTTTAATATTGTTAAATTGTTTAAATAAGTTAAAGTTGTATGTATTATTGATGCATGATCGATTGTAACGCATTTCGGATCACCGATAAATGTATTAATCGGGCACCCAGCTTTGGCTGAATATGATTGTACAAAATGAATAAGAAAAATTAAAAATGTAATTTGTTTAGTGAAGGCAGGTCGGCGCGCCCTGCGTCGGCCGGCGCCCGTAGATCGTTGTATGAAATTTTCATTTCAATTAGATGCTCGATTCAATAATGTAATTTCGTCGTACTATCGTTTTGTATAGTTACATAGTGTAAATAGGCATTTATTTATTATAAATTTATAGCAGTGTGATTTCTATACATAGCTGCGGGAGTGAAACACTTTAATTGGGCAAAATCAGTCTGAGCGAACTGGAGACTATTCATGTATCATGCATACAGCTCGGTAAAACTACAAACGTTAATTTGGATTATATTGGAGTAGAACAATGCTAAAAGTAGATATAATAATTTGTAAGGGAATAGTCATTAATTTGTATGATATTATTGTAGCAATTAATTTTTTCTATCATCACTTGTAGAGTGTCGCGTCGCAGCGGCCAGCCGCAGCGCGCGCCTCTGTATATACCGAGACGCGCCGCGACTTAGCGCTACTGCGTGTGTATGTATGTACACTATGGAGATGTTTGTTATGTAAAATGTATTAACATTGCAAAAATTATATATGATCTTATATAAATTACTATTATAGAACACAGTATGAAAATAAAAAGTTGACTCACATGAATTGAATTCTTTAAGTAAACATAAATATAAGCGTAGGCGCCCCGCGGCGGTTAGTAGTAAGCGCCGGCCTCGCTCGCCCGTCGCCTCACCTACTGTCCTCTGAAGGTAACGATCCCCTAGTGATTACTCAGTTGCGCAAACTACATTGGAAATACACAAGAAATTTTCACATTACCCAGTTTTTCATTTCTTAATGAGGCCCGAACTATATGTCTAATACTAAAATGTGTCTACATATATTAGTATAAGATTGCCACTAAGTAATATATCTATGTAAACAAAACACGAACACTTTTATAAAGTGAGATGACCTTTACTTCTGGTCATTGAACATGAAATGTGTACATTGACCTCACAATCGTTTGATCAATACACGAAACCCAAGTTCAAGGTAGCACATCACTATGACTACCGCAGTACAAACATACCAATGAGACAAAGCGAATAGCTTTTACATATTCCAGTTCTCTTCGCGACACCATCGGAAACATTGATCTAAAAAGGAATTTAGAAAGCGTTCATTTAATTTTAACGAACTTCTAAACATTTTAAAAGATCACAATGAGACTCACTAGTTCGCGAGCTTATTATCGACCGTCGCCACCAAAAATGCCTCCAGGTTTAGTGGAGTTAATGGAAGGATTAACAAAAGAGGTGCTTAAACGCAATCCGAGCGACATTTATGGATTCTGTGCCGGCCATATGCAACAACTATTGGATAAAAGAGATGGCCCCTGTAAGTTCATTACTTTTCTAACAGTACTCAGTTACCATCTTTCGTTTAGTAGGTACATTACGATTAATGGTTTCTAATAATTTACTTTTGAATACATCTGAATTACCAAAATGGTACTTTACCTATTAGCTTATTTTATTCTATATTAATTAGCTTATTATACCCGGGACATATACACAGCATTAGATGTATTTCTTGCAGACAGTTTTGTGTTACAATATCTATGTACTTAAGTATAATTCGTCACGTTAAGGTTGTACTCTGTTAATTCACATGTCCAAAAATCTTAAAATATTTGTTAATTTCTAAACTAATTGACAAAAATATTACCTTATAATATTACAGCTCCTAAAAAAGCATTACCATTAGAAGAAAAAATCACGAGAGCCCAAGGAAAGGTAAGACAAAGGGCCGAAAATCGAAGAAAAGAATACGATAAAAATGTCGTCGTGCAGCAACAAAATAACAATGTAACGTCATTAAATGACATTAAAACAAACTTAAAACTAGAGGATTCCAGCATTGTTTTTGATAAAGACAATGACGAAGTTGCACAAAATAATGACAATACTCAAATCCGTCAGGACCAGGTGTTAAAATATTCGAATGAAATGGAGATTGCAAACGAATCTAGATGGACTGTTTCTAAACAAACAGAAGATGTAGATGACAACAAAGATAATAAACAAAATTTTGTAAATGTACAGGAGGTCGAAACTGTTCATCCTCAAATTTCTGAAGAAGGTCAGAGCGCCACTGGAACTGAATCTAATCAGCAAAATGGAAGTACAATTGTTAACGATATTTCTTCAAATATGAAACCTGACATTGAAACTGTAAATAAGAACTTGATCGACAAAAATATCCTCCTGCTATATGATACCTCTAAATTGTTAAATGTTACTAACCAAATAAATGAAAACCAGGATGAGAACCTAATTAAACATGAAGGGCAGTCCGAAATTTATCATCAGAAACTCGAGCCCGCAGAAACCGAATCCAAGAAAAGTTTGTATGTTTGTGGTGTGGATAATATTCCGAACGAAAATAGTAAAGGAGAAAATATTACAGATTCGAAAGACTCTAAACAGCCAGTTGATATACCAGTTGGAATTGAGAAAAACCTATCAGAATCCTTTAACGCCAAACAAGTGAATATAGATAATTTCAATGATAATGAAAAAGTTACAATTAAAGACACACAACTACCAACTGACTTGATAGATATGTACTTTTCTACTAGTCCCCACCACACTGATGACAATGTGAGACAACATCAACATACTAAAGATGTTCAACTATCCACTCCTGTTGACGATGTACAGAAGTTAAATGATGCTACAGATTCTTTTACTCATAGTGATGTTTTGAGAACAGACCATCATGACGATGTAGAAGTGGATAACGTCGATGATCCTCCAAAAAATAATTCTAAAATCCTTCGAGAGTTAATTGAAAAGGACATCATAGGGAAATGTGATGATGTCAAAGGGTTGAATAATACTACAAACAGTGATGAGATCCATGACCAGCATAAGCAAATTGCAAACATTTTTGTGGGAGTAAATAATACTATAGAGAAAATGCAAACACCTCAAATGGGTTTGCTAGAAACAGGTGTTGACAGCGATATCCAAACACTGGTGACTGAGAATTCAGTGAATGACACCTATGAAATAAATGATGTAGGTGGTACTTTACAACTTAAAAGAATTACTTCGTTTGACGATATGGATCAAGAAAATGAGAAAAATTCTAACTTAGAGCAAACTTCGGCCGAGAATGTTTGTGATCATACCAAACATTGTGATAACGTTACCGTATCTCCCAAAAAAGTAGCTGATGTCATGCGTGACAATGAATCAAAGAACGACGACACCAGTCAAGACAAAACATCGACGAAAATATATGAAAATAATCAAAATGAGAATCAAGGAACAAACATGGACTTGGAAACTGCTGCCATTACAATTCAAAAGGTCTTTAGAAACTTTCTTTTTAAAAGTAGAGGTTCTACTTTCGAGGACACGGCTAATGATGAAGGTAACTTTATGGATGAAGATAATAAAAATAAGGTAAAATATTTTTATAAAATCAAGGTCTATATAATAAATTTAGTTCTAAACAATACTATGTAACAAACTAGTAAAATTTTTCTTCCAGGAAGAATGTAATTTTTCAATGACAAATTCGTTAAGCACAGATAGAAGGGCACATGGTATTACTAGAATGGATACCGTGTTACAAACAGTTAATGAAGAAAAGTCACTTTCGTTGTCAACTGACGATTCTTCCACATTGTCTAGTGCAGCTACTATAATTCAAGCTCATGTTAGGGGATTCTTAGCAAGGAATAAATTGAATTCTAATAAAACTGTATCTTCTACATCTGTAGCTGCTAGTAATTCAAATGAACCCTCCTACACCTCAATAGAAGCTGGGAGTGATCAAAGTAAGAATAAGAACGTTCTAAACATTCACATTGTACCTGAAGGAGAAAACTATTTAAGCAGAGATGAAAGTTTAATTACGTCAATGGACTTGTCTTTAGATAGCCCCCCTTCTTCCATTAATCTGCACCCTTTAGGTTACGACAAGAGTGAAAGAAGAAAGTTAAAACGGGAAGATGCCATACAATCTATTTCACCTCCAAGTAATAATAGTGGAAAATTAAGTGAAGATTTGGATTCTGTAAAAGAATTACCAGCAAGTGCTCATGACTTAGCTTCTCATCTGGTAGATGACATTAATAAAGAAAATAACAAAAGTATACCAATAGAGAAAGCTTTAACGGCCACTGACACAAAAATAAATGAAACTATTGAAACTAGTGATTATAAAACTCTACATCCACAAAGATTTTCGAGCAAAAAAGAATCTTTAACAAAAATTAATTTTGATGAAACTGATGTTGTAACACCGTTTGTCTCCAATGAGGATTTGACAAGTTTAAAGTTAACGCATTCAGGGGAGTTTCATGACGCTGTACTTCCAACTAGGGTGTCACGCAGTGACACTTCAGTCGTCAGTGGTGAGTGAAGACATCTATTATCAGGTGATAATTATTTCCGTAATATCAAGGCCATCGCATGTACTGCTAGTTGGTAATTCGTCGCCGCTTGTCTTACCACGTAGAAAATGAACTTTGCGAAATTACTCGCAACTATAAAAACTGGTTATGTAAATTACGATAGAAATGTATAGTACCTGTAGATAAAAGCATAAATATTTATGAAAAAATAGACAAAGTAGTTTATACGTTCATACTTAAGGTCGTAGGTCGTAGATTGTAATGACTTAGGACCATTATTTGAAATTTGTTTTTATGTAATTACCTAGTTACTATTATATTTTTAATGTGTGTCTTTGTTTTAATCTTTATCTTGTAGCTTTTTCGTTCTATGATAAAGTAAATTCGATGGACTTGTAAATAATGCTATATGTCTAATAAGTCACTATAACAGAGAGCTAATTTTAGCAATAAGGCTTAATAGTATATTCGTAAATATTTGTAATTAAATTTTAATAACCAAAATTTTCTTTTCAGAATTCAAGAATGTACTGGTGTATTTTTTGCTTTGGAATCATTCATAATAGTTAACTCAATGTACCTATGTATTATTGTCATACACTGTTATTCTTATAAGGAGTAAATAAAACGCACGTTAATTAATTGATGAAGTTTAATTTGCCTTAAAAATGGAGTACCTACATAAAAATAATGTTCAAGAATAAAACAGTTTTAACCTTAAAACTCTAGATCCTTATGTTTGAGAAATGAAAGCGGCGACAATACGTCACGTCAATGCAGGAGTATCTAGACAAGTCAGCATCACTGATACAATTTATGCCTTTACATAAAACCATCGTAGTTTCTTGTAGCCATTCCACCAACGACGGATCATAGTTATTAGTTATATTTTTTGAGCATGTAAGTTTTATGTATAAAAGGGACTGCTTGTCCAAATTTTGAAACCCTGTTATCAGCAAATGTAATCGACAGCAAAGTGCAAAGTGTGCTCTAAATCGACAGTACTCAACGAACGTCGTAGGTGAGGCGTGTTGCAGTACCAATAATACGAACTTGAATGAAACTATTACGCACTGTCTACTACGCTCTGTTTCAGTCAGTTCTTTGTTACTGTATTGTAGTCTGGGGTGGCGCTTGTAAGACATTTATGATGCGGTTGGAAAGAGCACAAAGATCAATATTGAAAGTCATGACTTTCAGTCCGTTCAGATTTCCAACAAAATCTCTGTTTACAACTTGTAAAGTACTAACAGTTAGACAACTGTATATACTGCAATTACTTTCAAAGCAACACAAGAAAACTCCTTACCATACTGCGGATTATAACAGAAAGCGTACAATGACAAATGTTTGCTTATCCGTCACCTGTCGTACAGCCTCGTGCCAGACGGCAACATGCCTACATGTCTATCTTCTTATATAATAGAATAAATAAATTAACAAACATTCATCCCTTATCTAATCGCGAAGCTAAAATTAAATTAAAGAATTGGTTGCTTGGTATAGACTATGACCAAACTGAAAAATTATTATCATAAAGACTAAAAACTGACCATATACACCTCTCATATCACTCCATATACATACTTACATATACATCCATACACTTAAATACCATACACACCACAAACGCACGGCACACTCCACACTACGCACTTTCATCACATTTACTCATCTCACTGCACTTATTTTTGCATAAGATTTCTGTGTTCCTCATAATGGGAGAAGACACTGACTTCTGTAACACAGGCCAAGAGCCTAGCTCAGCAGTCAGGGACTTCACATATATTGTGTATTTTTATGTGAATATAATAATAAATAAATAAATAAAAAAAAAACGAATGAAGACCACGTGTGAGAAGCGTCGCTGAGGCTCTCAGCAGTCCACCCGTGAACACAATGCAATTCGATCGCAACTTCGGGTAATCAGAAAGATATTACACCTTCTAATTATTATTGCGATTCAGTCCTGATTTGCAACTACCAGATTCATTTCAATGTTATTATTTTTACTTCTTTACAAGGGTTCTCACTCTACCACTGTATGTCGAACCTAGGTAAGCGTTAAGACAATAATGACGTATCGATCAAACCCCACACCCAGGCCAATAAGGTTCAGGGAGTAGAGGGAACGACTCGGGCAACCGAGCGCCGGGCACGCCGTCATCGCGGCGGTAAGACCCGTTATGGAGGATTGGCTCGAGAGGCATCACGGGACCCTCTCATACCGACTGACGCAGGTGATCACCTGGGATCACCTGTGTCTGATCCGCAAGGAGCCAACGCCTGAGTGCCACCACTGCGATGGCCAGACCGTGGACACGGCTCTCCACACGCTGGCAGACTGCCCGGCATAGGTTGAGCAGAGGCGAGACCTCGTGGCGGCCATCGGAGTGGGAGTTCTCTCGCTCGATAGCCTGATTGCGGCTATCGTGCGAAGCGAGAGTGCGTCGAACTCTGCCGTCTCCGGAGGAGCGGGACCGGGAGAGGTTTAGAACTCTCCCGGCCCGCCAGGCCCGGGAACGGGCCAGGTACCGCAGGCGACTCAGGCGCCGGAGGTCGCAAAACGACCTGCGTCATCCATAAGCGCAGGCCTGGGGGTGACAGGTGAGGCCATATTTTTTTTTTATTGGGACTAATCCCACCCACACGCCCACCACTGTAACTCCTGTACACCAGGATCTACAGCAGTGACCCACGAACACACCGAGTTATGACACTCGGGAAGTCCCAGGAAGAAATTAAACTGTCTTGGAACCCGCAACGAAATTAATCAGAAGAAAATTGGAGGAGTTGGAAATACAGTAAATCCACTTCCCTCTTTAGCAAAGCGGGAGACAAAATGAAGTAAAATGGGCATACACCCTTTTAAACAGGGAAGCACCACGGCCACAAATATTACGGGTCCTACGTGAGCTATGTTTGATTTCTATAATATGTATGGCAGGATCGCCTAAACGCACGGCAATTCACCCTAGTTGACACAAGATCCCCATAGTATACCGCCCCAGATGACCGCCCCTGCAAGTTATTCAGCATTATATTACGTTCAATATACCAAAGACTACATTCCCAGAGGATATGATGAGCAGACTGTTCATAGTGAGAGTTAGGTGTTGAGCATTGACACAATGGTGACTCGACTAATTTAAATGAATAAAGCTTGCTCTTACAGTTACCATGACCCGTAAGAAATTGAGCGACACAGTGATCTCCCTCAAGCCATATCCTCGACAACCGTTCGCGAACAGATGGAAAGAATTGGTAAAGATGGAATTGGCGCCCCTTGGATGATTCATCCCAGCGTTGTTGCCATTCGTCTATGAGGTCATTATAGACATCGGGCTGCTGTTGAAGCAATCTTGTAATTTTACCGCGATCCCGCGCGCCCAAAAAATCGCATTCCATGTTTTGTTGTCTTGAATAGTACATGGCTGCACGTCTCTGCACCTCGAGATCGACCGGAAGCACACCCGCCAACACCGGCAAAGCCTCAGTGCTGACCGTCCTATATGCCTTACACAAGAATATCAGTGCAAGTCGTTGGCCTTGTAACAGTTTGTAGTATCAGATTCCACCAGTAATAAGCCGTCATCAGCATACGCGTTCAGAATACATCCGGATGGTATTGGTATCGCAAGAAAATCGTCGAAGCCGATATTCCACAAGTATGGACCTAGCACCGATCCCTGAGGACATCCCATTGTAAGCGCCTTCGACACAGAATGATGACCAAGTCTTAGTTTAGTTGTACCTTGTAAAAAGTACGAAGAGATAAGGGAATAAATATTTTTAAAGCACCCTCGTGATTTTAATTTCAGCAACAGCATGGGCCACCATGCGTTGTCGAAGGCGCCAGATATATCTAAGAAAATAGCCAGCACGTATTGAAATTTTGACTCTGTGACAAACTTTCTAACCGATATAACAGCGTCAGTTGTCGATTTACCCAACGTAAATCCAAATTGTCTATTATGAAATTTGACTCCACCTTTTTTTTTTTTTTTTTCGTGCGGAAATATGGCCTCACATGTCACCCCCAGGCCTGCGCTTATGGAGGACGGAGGTCGTTCTGCGACCTCCGGCGCCTGAGTCGCCTGCGGTATGGCGGGCCGGGAGAGTCCTAAACCTCTCCCGGTCCCGCTCCGCTGTCTCCTTCGCGAGCATAACTTGCTCGCAGAAGGAGACGGCAGAGTTCCACGCACTCTCGCTCCGCACGATAGCCGCAATCAGGCTATCGAGCGAGAGAACTCCCACTCCGATGGGACTCCCACTCCGATGGGAAATTTGACTCCACCTGGCAGAAGCCGGGGCACTACAAGACGTTCTAAAAGCTTTACTTACGATGGTAACAATGTGATTGGTCGGTAGGATTTAGGATCATCCGGTGGCTTGTCGCCACTTTTTGGTATTATACGAATATTACCGCACCGCCATATACGAGGAAATATTCCTTCAGCAATGCAACGTTTAAAGACAGTGAAAATCGTGTCACCCGAAAGTTTACAAGCTTCTTTTATCATTTTGTTAGATATTTTATCATCGCCCAAAGCCTTGTTTAGCGGCAAGGATCGAATGATACCGAGAAATTCGTCTGAAGATGGTAAATCAGACATTGGAGACAGTTGTCGTTCGATGGCCCACTGCCTTATCTGTCGGTGATGATCAGTGTCGCTTTCCGGCCGATCGTCAGGTACAAGTGATTCTAAAAGATATTCTGCTGTTTGTTCTACTCCTGTGGTATATCTGTTATTAATTTTGATGTTCTGTATGTATGCAAGGTCGATTGATCTATTTGCCTTAAATTCGTGATACAAAGGTGACCACGGGCCCTCTCTATCGAGTTTATCAACAAGTTTCTGAATTAAGTTTCCCTTGGATTTTTCCACAGCAGCTCTGTAGTGGGACCTGGCAACTCTAAGAGCAATGAGAGCATTGTTGTACAAATCTCCTGTTACGTTATGTTTTTTAATAGTGTTTAATTTTCTACGAGCTTTCCGGTAGCTTCTACGTAGTTCGGCTAGTCTATCATTCCACCAATCACATCTACGAGTGTTAGTGATAGATCCGCGACCAATAGTTACATCAGCGCAGTATGTAAAAGTTTCTGATAGTATTTCTGCGCTTTCCTCAGCTGATAAACTACTGCGACTGAAGTCTTTGGTATGAGTTGCAAAGAGTGAACCAAACAAAGCCCAGTTCGCACCTTTAGTTTTATATCTAAAATTATAGGGAGCCCTTTGTGGATCCTGTGCAACCCTTGGTATTGTTTGGTATTGGTTGGTAGGTGAGGCCATCTGTCACCCTAGCAGAAGCAGGCCGGGGTGGCGGCGAGCGCGTTGCGAAGCGCGCTCGCTTCCAGGGAGCAGAGTGAACATGGGGTTCCCAGACGGGGGGGTCGTCTACTTGTTGTAGATGGCCCGAGGTATGTCGGGGCACCAGGGACTTCCTTTCTAGGGTATACCTATTTCCCCGGCTATTAGTACCCGACACGGCGTGCGGTTTTAGTCGGTTCGAGTCCGACATGCCACCGACAGGTGGTATCCGAGGGGATTTCCGCACG